ATTGATAAATCCAAGTCCCTTCCAGCCCTGTGCTGCTGAAAAAGCCCAAGGGCAATCCCTGAATTCCTAAAGGCTAAAAAACCAAGTATGGTATGAGACTGAAGCCAGAGCTAAGGAAGCTAATCACACTCTGAGCTGCTTCCCAGCAGCCAAGGCCAAATACAGATAAAAGGGAAGCACAGGAGTCCTGAACTCTTGGCTACATACAGAAGAGGAAGAAAGCCAGACTCTCAGAGTATACAGCTTTCCCAGGGATGGCCTTAGAAGGCTGTGTGTGGGACCTTGTGTATGAATGTTGTGCAAGGGGATGTTGAAGTAGAAGGCACAGGGCCCGCCTATGCCTAGCCACTTCTCATAGTGGCTAGTGATAACCCTGAAGGTGTGCCAATTAGCTTGTGGTCCCGAAGGATACTTGCTGATTGCATTTACTCTCGAGGTGCTGTAGAAGAGTAGAGCAGCAGTGTGGTGTCCCTGCTGGACCTTCCGGGGAGGGACTGCTTAGTGTTCCAGGTGATGTTGGAGGCAGAGCTCAGTGCTGTGTGACACATGAGGGCACCAAGGCTTGGAGAGCTTCCCAGGATCACAGTCCCTTAGTGGAATACCAGAAGGGACTGTTTCCTTTTCCTGTTTGCTGATGCCTGCCTGGCAGAGAAGGGGGGATGTCTGGCTCTGGTACTGCACACAGTGTGGCAGAGCTGGGCCTATTGGTTTCCAGGCAGCACCCCTTCAATCGCTGCAATAGATCTAGAAGCCAGTAGCTGCCTTGTTACAGACAGCCTGGCAACTGGCTTGAGGCTGTTTCACGAGTGGCTTGAGGGGTGAGGAAGCCCTGCAGAAGTTTCTGGGGACGTGGGGAGTCAGCCAGGCTGCTGGCAGACATTGCTCTGTACTTTTCTGGGAGGTGTCCTGGTTTTGTTTCCTGTTGCTGTAGTGGAAACACCCTGACAAAAGCAACTTAGAGGGGAAAGGGTTTACTTCAGCTCATGATTCTAGGTTACGCCTTGTCGCCTTGTCGTTGTAGGGGAGTTAAAGTAGCAGGAACTTGAAGCTGCTGGTAGAGAGAGGATTAGCACATGCTTGCTTGTGTTCAGCCTGCTTTCTCCATTATTCTACAGTGCATGGACCAAACCCAGGGACGGAGCTGCCCACAGTAATGCAATCAAGACAACCCTCCACAGACATGTCCACAGGCCACTTGATCCAGAATTCCCTCACTGAGACCCTCTTCCCATGTGATTTCCAATGTCATTGTGTCAAGTGGTAACTTGACATATTATCACATAGCTTTCATGGAGTCTCAAAAACAAACACAGCTGGGCTTGGTTGCATATGCCTTTAGTTCCAGCACTTGGGAGAAAGAGGCAGGCAGATCTCTGTGAGTTCAAGGCTAGCCTCATCAGCCAGAGGTACATAGTGAGACCATGTCGGAACACAAATAGAATAAAACAAGCCCCAAGCTCCATAGAGGAGATATGGTAGCAGCTTATATTGGTTGAGCCCCAACCACGGATGTCAACTTGGTGTTCCTGAGAGGGTAGGGTGTGCTAGCCAGCTGACCATCTCACCCACTGTCCCTGCATGGTGACTAGAATTTGCCTTTCCCACCCTCCTCATGGTTGATTTTCCCAGTGGTTGATAGGAGCCCCTGGGTCTCATGTGGATCTGGGAAGGATTACAGGCAGGGTGCTATGCAATGCTGAGAAGTCCACCTGCAATTTTCTGATGCCTAGGGAGAGTGAGTGAATGGGTGGGTGAGTGAGTGAATGGGTGGATGAATGATTGAGTGGATGAATGGGTGAATGGGTGGGTGGGTGAGTGAATGGGTGGGTGAGTGATTGAGTGGATGAATGGGTGAATGGGTGAGTGAGTGGGTGGGTGAGTGAGTGGGTGGGTGGGTGATTGAGTGAATGAATGGGTGAATGGGTGGGTGAGTGAGTGGGTGGGTGAGTGGGTGGGTGAGTGAGTGGGGTGGGTGGGTGAGTGGGTGGGTGGGTGAATGGGTGGGTGCGGGTGTGTGGGTGAATGAGTGAGTGAATAGGTGTGATGGTTTTCCTTCCTTGGTATACCAGCTCTGTAGATGAACACTCCTTGAGGCATTATTGTCAATTTAGAGAGAAGTCTTGGAGAAGCTGAGGTTACTTAGCTGTTGTTGGACGGCCAGAGTGACCTAGCTGTCTCAGAGCCACACCCTCCCTTCCTGTGGGCAGTAGTGTGCAAGCAGACAAGTGTCCTTTCTCTATGGCATGTGGCGGGGCTGGCAGGGTCAGGACTGTTTGCTGCTCCTAAAACCTTGTACCTGTCATGTTGCTGGCCTAGCTCACAGCCCCACTTGACTTTCCAGGACTGCTCACCCTTCGATGCAGTCTGGCCCTATTTGCCTTCTGTGGGTTCCTGAATCTCATCCTGGCCTGTCCTTCAATACAACCCAGTGGTTGGCCACAGTTGCAGGGAGAACACACAAGTCCCTTTTAGAGCTAAATTGAGTCCAGATAGTTGAAGGCACCCTAAGGAGACAGGGCGAGGGTGAGGGGTGGCGGCATCGTGGGCCCAGCTGTGGCTGTCTCCAAAGCCCTTTCTTATTCCATCCTCATCTTTACATCACCTAGAAGCCTCTAGAACAGTGATTCTCAACCTGTAGGTTGAAACTCTTTAGGGGAGGGGTCATCAAATGACTCTTTCACAGAGGTCACCCAAGGCCGTGGGAAAACACAGATATTTACAAACCATAACAGTAGCAGAATTACAGTTATGAAGTAGCAATGGGATAATTTTATGGTTGGGATCAGCACAACATGAGGAACTGTAGTAAAGGGTCACAGCATTAGGAGGGTTGAGAACCACTGCTCTAGAAAGTCAGACTGGGCATGCAGTGCCTTCTCCCTCTATGATGGCGAGCTGGTGGGGGCCACCTGGGTCAGGGATGAATGTAGCTTTCCTGTTTAGGAGATCCAGCATCCTTGTGAGCCTGTGGTCCTGGCTCTGCCCTTGCTGAGTTGAGAACGTATCCATAGAGTATCTATCCATGATGGTGGTGCCTCCACTTGTGGAAAAAGACAAAGATCAGTTTAGAGAGCTTCGGAAGAGCAAGGATGAGAGTGAGCCGGGAAGAGATCACCTGTACACTGTCATCAGTCCCTTGCACTAGCTGCTGCTGGTTTTCCTCCTGCCTGCCACCTGCTAGGTATACAGTTAGGTCTGTGTGCTGGCTGACTGGATGGATGGATGGATGGATGGATGGACGGACGGACGGACGGACGGACAGACGGACGGACGAGTGGATGGAATGAACGGGTAGGTGGATGGATGGATTGAAAAATGTCCTGGGTGTTAGAAAACCTGCTGTCCAGTCTAAGATCTGCCACTAGTCTTTATGGCCTTGGTGGGACACACTTATTTCCTGGCCTCTGGCTGTACATCTAAGCTGACACTGCACCACACCACACCCCTGCCCCTGAGTCAGTTAGGGCAGGGCTCTGGCAGGTGAGTTCTGTGAGGCTGTGGCCACCCTGGATTTGGTGAGGAGGTTTTCCGAGGCTCTTGGCCTCAGAGAATAGGAAGTGGGATGGTGTGACCATAGGAAGTGGGATGGTGTGAACATAGGAAGTGGGGTGGTGTGAGCACAGGGAGTGGGTGGTGTGATATAGGAAGTGGGTGGTGTGACATAGGAAGTGGGTGGTGTGACATAGGAAGTGGGATGTGTGAGCACAGGAAGTGGGTGGTGTGAGCACAGGAAGTGGGTGGTGTGATATAGGAAGTGGGTGGTGTGACATAGGAAGTGGGATGTGTGAGCACAGGAAGTGGGTGGTGTGACATAGGAAGTGGTGTGGTGTGACATAGGAAGTGGGTGGTGTGAGCACAGGAAGTGGGGTGGTGTGAACATAGGAAGTGGTGTGGTGTGACATAGGAAGTGGGATGTGTGAGCACAGGAAGTGGGTGGTGTGAACATAGGAAGTGGGATGGTGTGACCATAGGAAGTGGGATGGTGTGAACATAGGAAGTGGGATGTGTGAGCACAGGAAGTGGGTGGTGTGACATAGGAAGTGGGGTGGTGTGAGCACAGGAAGTGGGTGGTGTGAGCATAGGAAGTGGGATGGTGTGAACATAGGAAGTGGTGTGGTGTGACATAGGAAGTGGGTGGTGTGACATAGGAAGTGGGGTGGTGTGAACATAGGAAGTGGGATGGTGTGACCATAGGAAGTGGGATGGTGTGAACATAGGAAGTGGGGTGGTGTGAGCACAGGGAGTGGGTGGTGTGATATAGGAAGTGGGTGGTGTGACATAGGAAGTGGGTGGTGTGACATAGGAAGTGGGATGTGTGAGCACAGGAAGTGGGTGGTGTGAGCACAGGAAGTGGGTGGTGTGATATAGGAAGTGGGTGGTGTGACATAGGAAGTGGGATGTGTGAGCACAGGAAGTGGGTGGTGTGACATAGGAAGTGGGTGGTGTGACATAGGAAGTGGGTGGTGTGAGCACAGGAAGTGGGGTGGTGTGATATAGGAAGTGGGTGGTGTGAGCATAGGAAGTGGGATGGTGTGAACATAGGAAGTGGGATGGTGTGAGCATAGGAAGTGGGATGGTGTGAACATAGGAAGTGGGTGGTGTGACATAGGAAGTGGGTGGTGTGACATAGGAAGTGGGTGGTGTGAACATAGGAAGTGGGTGGTGTGACATAGGAAGTGGGTGGTGTGAACATAGGAAGTGGGTGGTGTGACATAGGAAGTGGGGTGGTGTAGGAAGCAGGGTTGACTCTGGGTGGGCTGGAGGGACATGTGGAACATTAAGCCTGGCTGTTGAAGCTTTGGGTTTTGTGGTAACTTAGTTTTTCTTCTTTGGAAAGACAAAGTGCCCATGGCATCCTCATGGGTATCAGAGGCTCCTGTGTGGGTGGGAATGGTAGGGGGAGATGGGCAGATGGGTACATCCCTGGCGGGGGGTTGGGGGTAGAGCAGGCACTGGGTCACAGGGCCCCTGCTCATTGCTCTGCTTTGTGTTTCCTACAGATTATGATTGAGTTCTGCCCTGGGGGAGCTGTGGATGCCATCATGCTGGGTAAGTCGTTCTTTAGCCCCTAGGAGTGCAGGACTTGCCCTGAACCCAGTATGTACTCCTGGCCAGCTGTGACTAGTCCTTCCCTCCCCTTCCCTGCCCCTTTTGGGGGTATGGAGAGAATGCTGGCCTTTCACTGGAAGATGAGCACTTCCTGTTCAAGATTTTGTGTGTCCTTATAGCTGCTTACCCTTTTGAGCCTTCTTGATGGTAAGAATGTATGATGCCTTTCACATGGCACTGAGTGGGACACCTAAATATCTCAATCTTTTACTGCTGCTGTCACAGAACATCTGGATGAGTTATAAAGAACAGCTATTGAGCCAGGTGGTGATGGCACACACCTTTAATTCCAGCACTTGGGAAGCAAAGACAGGTGAATCTCTGTGAGTTCAAGTTCAGCTTGTTGAGTTCCAGGACAGCCATGGCTACACAGAGAAACCCTGTCTCTAAGCAAACAAGCCAAAAAGAAAAGATATTGATTTGGCTCATGCTTTTGAGGCTTGGAAGCCTAAAAGCAAGGCCCGGGTATCTGGCAAGCATCCCACGTTGAAGGCAGAAGGGAGAGTATGAGTGAGAGAAACAAAAAAGGGGCATCATTGGGAACCCACTTCCGTGAGAATAAGCTGACTCCACAACATTGTTTGGTCCATTTGTTAGGGGAGAGACAGTAATCTCCCAGCAGCCTTATGCTCGGGCTTTCAGGGACACATTCATTACAGTACCCACACATTTTGAAAGTGCTCAGGAGAAGGGTTACCAGGTCTCGATGTCCTTGGCAAGGCTGGTTGATATCAATGCTGGTAAAATAGTGTGTCTTAGTTTTTTTCCCTACTGCTCAACAAAATACCTGAGGCTGGATTCTGTAAAGAAGAGAGGTTTGTTGTTTCTGCCACTGTGAAGACAGATGGACTGGTGTGACACATCTACACACTATCTGCAGATGACCTGTGCCCTATGCTGTTTTTACAAATAAACTTGAGGCAAGATCTGTTTAAAAAAAAAAGAGAGGTTTGTGAGGCTCTGTTTGGAGGATGAAAGTTAACCATGGGGACGTGTGGCTTCTAAAGGCCTTATGACTAAAGTCACAATGGGAAAAGAGCATGCAAAAGATAATATAGTAAGACAGGGAGTCAGAGAGCATAAGGGGGAGGCCTTGCTTGTTCTGTCTGTTGTCTGTCTGTCTATTTGTTTATTGAGACAGGGTCTGGCTGTGTAGTCCTGGCTGTCCTGGAACTCACTATGTAGACCAGGTTGGCTTTGAACTCACAGAGATCCTCCTGCTTCTACCTCGGAAGTGCTGGGATTGAAGTGTGTACTACCTGCACACCGCACAGCAGAGACAATCACATGAGCCTTTGGGGGACAACACCGAAGCTGGTGTGCTGCAAACTCAACCCTCAGATTCACCCACAAGTGGAGTTTGGAGGTGGGACTCTGGGAAGGAGTTAGGGTCTGGCGGCGTGAGTGGCATGCCGGCACACTTGCTATCTCGCCATGTGACACAGCATGAGGACCTTATAGGTGATGTCGTACTGTTGGGACTCCTAGCCTACAAAACCGCGAGCCCTTTCTGTGTCAGTCACCACAGCAAAATGAACCAAGGCTCCTCCAGTCCTGCCACACATGCCCTGCATCTCAGTATGCTGTTCACAACCCTGAATTCTGAAGCCCTGGGTCTCTAAAGTGACCTGCAGCACGTAGCAGCTCTGATCCTTGGTGGCCACTCATGTGCACTAGGGAGAACAGGACTGCTAGCCCCATGCTCATGTTGTGGGGACAGGATTGGTCTATATGCCACAGACTTCGGGTGATGCTCCCCATTGCTGGCCTGCTATAGGGTCTGGTGGCAACCTAGAAAGGGCCTGGTGTTGGCCTGTTGAGTGTTACTCAGTGACAAGAACTCCTCTTTTCCAGAGCTGGACCGAGGCCTCACCGAGCCCCAGATTCAGGTGGTATGCCGTCAGATGCTGGAGGCGCTCAACTTCCTGCATGGCAAGAGGATCATCCACCGCGACCTGAAAGCCGGCAATGTGCTTATGACTCTTGAGGGAGACATCAGGCTGGGTAAGAAGGGCTTCTGGGTGAGGGCCCGAGGGGCAAGAGGTGTCTAACTGCAGGTGTCCTGGCTGGTGGTGACACCTGGCCTTTGAGTATGGGATCCTCACTCCCACAGCCACCCCTACAGCCTCCAAGGTCCCAACAGTTCTCCCCTGTACCCTTGGATCACAGGCTAGTCTAGTGCTTGTCAGCCAGGGTCAGGGAACATTTGGCAGCATGGAGATGAGGGCTGAAGGTGATCGTGAACCTTGTGAACCGAGGCCGGAGGTGCTGGGCAGCCCCGTGGGTATATACAGTAGTCATCATGCCAGAGCCTGGCCCTAGCTTCCAGTTTGACAAACTCAAATGGAAGATCCTATGTCCAAGCACTTTTACCCACTGAGCCACCTTGCTGTTTCCCCCTGAATATTTTCAATACACTGTTGGTCAAATCCACAAATATACCTTTGAGTGTGATGGAATGTAAACCAGGTATCAAAATTGATTTTTTTTGGGGGGGGTTCCTCTTGTTTCTGTGTGTTCTTCATAAGTTTGTTTTGTTTTTTCAATGTGGGGTTTCTCTGTGTAGTCCTGGCTGTCTTAGAACGTAGTTTGTAGAGTAGATTGGCCTTGAACTCAGAGATTTGCCTGCCTCTACCTCCTAAGTACTGGGACTAAAGGTGTGCATGTCCTGTGCATGTCCGGTTTTGTGAGTTTTTATCCAGGCAGCATGTGTGCACCCTCTGCTCCCACTGCTTCCCATTGTCATTCCCCAGAGGTGTGGCTCCAAGAGCCTCTCATGCTTCCTTCATCATCATTAAGTGACGTGCCTGCCGTGAGTCTGCCATTTGATGGACAGCACATGCTCATCACACAGTCCCCAAGCACAGGAAATGAGAGAGCTGGGAAGCATCTCCAGCTTCTTTATCTGCCCGGCAGCACTTGTGCATGTGGCTGCTGGACTTGGGGTCTAAGTGCTGAGTAGGGGGTGGCACATTTGATGGCATTCCACTCCATTGCCTAGTGATGTCTGATACTAGTTCATTGCTCCATTCCCCCCTCTGAGCCTTGTCCCTCCAGCGTGGGAGTGTCAGGCTTTGTACTTCCTCTAGTGGGAAACTTAGTGATTTAGGGACGTAAAAGACACAGTGCTGTGGAGCCTCCATGAGAACTGCGGGGGGAATATGAGGGTGAGTGCAGAATGGGCACAGTCAGTCAGAGGTGTGTTCTGAAGTGTTCGGCAGAGGATCAAACCTGGGACACACAGCTGGCAAGAACAGAGCCAGGGTCCACCCAGGCTTGGAATTCTTTGGGTCCCTCTCAGTCTCCTCATGTCTTTGAATACCTCAGGGTGTCCTGGAGAATTGCTTGGCTACTCTTTCTCCCAGGGAAGGGATGGCACCAGTACCCCATGCCATGTGCAAGACAATGGGTGAGCTGAAAAATGGGGGAGGGGAGCACACTCAGGTGGGCCTGGTTCAAATCTTGCCTCTGCCACTTCTGCTGTGTGATCCAAAGATGATTATGACCTATTAAGAGCCCAGCTTTTATCAGCAATGTGGGTGTAACAGTGGATCCTTGGAGTGTTATGGTGACGGTAAGGGTAAAATGACAGTATTGTCATATTGGGCAGGTGCTGGGTGCCTGCTCCTGCCTTGTGATTTGCTGCTGTGGAAGGGTTCCATTTTCTGAGGCTCTCTCTGTTGTCAAGTCTGGCCTGGCCCCAACTGCCCCATTCTGGACTGACAGTTGGATTGTGTTTGTACAGAGAAAAAATCTGCAGCCTTAGGACATTGGGATATTGGCAGAGTGTGGCCTCTATAACTAAAGGATGAGACAGGTCACCTACTCCTTGTGAGCCTGGCTTTCCAGCCTGTGGACTGGGGGAGGGGGCAATAAGGGGGCTTAATGCAGCATTCTACCCTGTCAGCCACGCACAGCTGAGAGGACCAGCAAACATGTGACCTCTGTCCTGCTAACTGCTGTGAGATGAGGGTCTCCACTCTCCAAGCTCCTGCATGCCTCGCCCAGGGCTCCTTGGGGGAAGATGAGGCGAATTCCTTCTTTCAAGTGCCAGGCAGAAGTGCTAACCATCCAACAGTGCAGATGCCCAGCCTGAACCTAGAGCTGTTGGAAATCGGTAACAGTGGTGTCCATCGTTCCTTCAGTCTGGTTACACAGGGTTCTGATTCAGAAAGGCCCCCTGCTGTGCCAGAAGCCTGCCTAATAGCCCATCTGGGAGCCAGTTACCTGCCTCTCACCCCATTCTTTACCTCAACCCAGAACCCCTGACTCTTGCTCCAACATATTGGGGTCCTGGGTCTTTACAGTCTAGTATCCCCCCACCTTTCTATAAGAATACATCCAAAAACTGGGCAGTGGTGGCACACACCTTTAATCTCAGCATTTGGGAGGCAGAGGCAAGTGAATCTCTGTGAGTTCAAGGCCAGCCTGATTTACAAAGCAACACAGAGAAACCCTGTCTCAAAAAAACAAAACTATTTCCAAGATTGTGAGGGGATGTCTAAAACCCCAGATAGCACCAAACCTTCTGTACCTTCTGTAGACTAGGTTTCTCCTATACACACGTACCTACAGAAAAGTTTCATTCATGAATTAGACAGTGGGCATTAGCAACAAGAAATGATACAGCAGGGGTTATCACAGGGTTATTGTAACAAAGGTTACATTAATGTAGTCTGTCCTGGCCAGGGTTACTATGGCTGTGATGAAACACCATTACCAAAGCAACTTGGGGAGGAAAGGGTTTATTTGGTTTACACTTCCACAAGCACTGTTTATCACTGAAGGAAGTCAGGACAGGAACTCAAACAGGGAAAGATCCTGGAGGCAGGAACTGATGGAGAGACCATGAAGGGGAGTTGCTTACTGGCTCGTTCCTCATGGAGATGTGGTTGGTTACAGCCACACGTAGCACTGCTAGGCCTCCCTGACCTCCCCCTCTCTAGGGAACCCCAACCTTGGAAGATTCTGACAAGATCTTCCACATTTCCCATCATCACCTGTAAGAGAAAAACAAGAAACCACTGGAGGTTGTGGTGTCAGTAATGCTAGTGAAGGGCTCTGATTGGCTCAGCTTCTATGATAGTAATGCTGGTGAAGGGCTCTGATTGGCTCAGCTTCTAATCAGTCTCTGGCATGGAGGGAGGGGTCGGGGGCAATATGGAAATCCTTCCTTCCAGAGTTATGGTGGGCAAGATGTGCTTTTCAGAGGAAGAGAGGATTTGGCCAGAGAAACAAGCATTGTTCTCTGCCTGTGAGAATCGTGTAGGAGTGAGGTTGCTGAGCAGGAAGCAAATACAGAAGACTGCATTAGCAGTTGGGGTTTGTAGTGATGGTGGGAGAAGAGAGGTCAAGAAGGCAGCAATAGGCAGCTAAAGATAATGGGGAGCCTTGATTAAGCAGACTTTGTTAAGAGACCACATGCAGTTGCCCTCAAACCTACAGAAAATAAAGTAGAAAACTTGTCACAGTAGACGAGTCTTTCTTGTTTGGTGTCTGGATAACAAAGGCCCCGTTTAACAGATGAAGAAATTGACGCCCAGAGAGGTCTTCACTGTGACCACATTAGCATCTTGTCACCTCCCTGCCTGGTCCTGTTGCTTCCATGAAACCTCCAGGAGAGCAAACCTCCTGCTAATGAGCCCCGCCTGGCCACTGGCTTCTACAACCCTATCCAGGCTCCAGAGGAAGCACTGAGCTTGGCAGGAGCCTCCCTCTTTGCTTTTCTTACCCCTGGCCCAGCAGGTCACAGCCCTGCTTCCCTAGACTTGCTTTCCTGGCAGCCCCACGAGGGGCCTGGATACTGCCATGCGGTGTTTTGGATGGGACAGTTTTGCCATGCAGTGTGGTGGGAGCCCTGGGACTCCAGGGGATGGTGTGGAGGTTGTTGCGGTGCCACCCTCATCCCCACCGGTACCAGGCACCTAACCCTCTCCACACTTTCTGGTTTCTGGTGGGAAGCTGTTGTATCTTGTGCTGCTTGTGTCGGTCACCTGGGGTCAAAGCAACAGAGCTTCTCACGTATCGTGTGTGTGTGTGTGTGTGTGTGTGTGCGCGCGCGCGCGCGCGCGCGCACGCGTGCGTGCATGTGCGACATGTTTTCATCCTCAAGAGAAGATAATATTTATACATGTCTGAAAAGTACTTGAAGTATCCGGGAGTAGTGGGACTTGCTGTTAATCCCAGCGCTCGGGAGGTAGAGGCAGGCAGTGTTAGAAGCCAGCCTGGACTACATAGTGAGTTACAGGCCTGCCAGGGCTACATAGAAAGAGATGGGGCCGAGCCAGGGAGAGGGAGAGCTCCAGAGCCTCAAATTATTCACCATGATGCCATTGGTAGTGAGAAGCCAGAAATGACCATGTGTGGCCGGGCGGTGGTGGCGCATGCCTTTAGCATTTGGGAGGCAGAGGCAGGAGGATCTCTGTGAGTTGGAGAACAGCCTGGTCTACAAGAGCTAGTTCCAGGACAGCCTCCAAAGCTACAGAGAAACCCTATCTCAACCCCCCCCCCAAAAAAAAGAAGTGACAGTGTGTGAATCCAGGAGAAACTAATGCCTGTATGTTTTTACTTAGTTTTATATTTGTGTGGTGCTGGGGCTCAAGCCCTGGGCATGCTGAGCTTAGCATGCTGGGTAGAGAGAGGGAAGCACTTTCATTCAGTGTATCCCTTGCCCTAGACTGCCTTTTTAAATATATATTTTTATTTTTACTGAAACACAAGAAAAATACACACACTTATGGGTGCAGGGTGATGTGGTCAGACATCGATTGCCATCGTCATCACCTCAGCTGCTCAGGGTTTCTTAGAAGAACATTTTAAATTGATCTGATTTTGTGACAGTCAGTTATTGTCAACCTGAGTCCCTGCCTTAGAGCATTGGTGTATCCACCCTCACCCCTCCTTCCTCCTGGCCCCACCCACCCCACACCACTCAGCCCCTCCTCCCTCCTGGCTCACTCCACCCTACCCTACTCACCCCTCCTCCCTCCTGGCTCCCTCCACCCTCCTACTTCTGGGAGAGGCCCATATAAGTGGGGCCATGCAGATTTTGTCTTTCTGTGCTTGACAGGATGTTCTTGCCCGCTTTTTAAAGTCAAACAGTATCCGCCTGTTTCGCCATATCCTTGTGTTGTCCACAGTTATCATCATTTCATACACTTGCAAATCAGGTTACCTGTGATAACACTGGGCTGGGTATTAAATGTGTCACATTGTGTTTCCAGGCTGCCAGTCATTCCAGGAGGAGCTTGCCAGCTGCTGGCTCCTGGAGCCTCCTACTGTGGAGAGTTGCTGGGCTGTGAGGTCTCATTTAGCTAACACATACCTCAGCTCCTTCCCTCCCTTGTACACCCCCCCCCCCAGCGGAGTGCAAAGTCCTCCACCACATCCTGTTTTACATAAGAGAAAACCCCCAATAGCATCGCTAGATGTGTTTCTGTTTTCTGAACCGCGAAAACGGCACACTTCATCAAAGATGTTTTAAAAAATAAAATTGTGTAAAGAAAAAGAATAAATAGATCAGGGACCCCTGTGCTCTGCCCCCACCTAAACCCCACATCCGGAGAGGTGACCACTGTGAGCTTGAATGCAGCTGAGTTTGGAGAGGCTGGCACATGCAGTGTGAAATGTTCTTTAAATGCAGCTGGAATCACGTTGCGTGTGCTGTGTGTCTGAGTGTTACAGGTATGCTGCTGGTCTGATGCATCCAGGCACAGCCTTGCTCTTTTTTTAGGGCTATATGCTATTTCATAGCTGAGTATCTGTATGGCTTAACCACTCGCCTGCAAACTCTAGCAATGAGTTCAGGTGATTCCAGTTTGTCAGTCTTCTGAGTGATGCTTCTGGAAACATCTGTCTGTATTCTAAATCTGTTTGTGGACATCTGTAGCCAGAACCAGGATTGCTGCCACCGAAAATGGCTTGCTGGCACAGGAGGGCTGCCTAGCCCGGTGACCCACATGGTAGAAGGAGGGAACTGAGTCCTGCAAGTGTGTCCCCTGACCTCCACGTGCTGACTGTGACACTTATGACCCCTTCACACCCTCACATGAAGAGAATAAAGTCTAATAAGGCTCAATGGTTAAGAATACTTACTCCTGCAGAGGACCTGGGTTTAGTTCCCAGCACCCACATGGCCATTCACAAGCACCTATAACTCCAATCCCAGCGGGCCCTCCTCTCACGCCGGAGACACCAGGCATGCAGGGGTGCACATCCATACATGCATGCAAGTGCAGGGTTGCATATACATACATGTATGTATGCAAACTCTAATACACAAAAAAATAAAATAAAAAAGTGGAACATCCAGTGTCCTTGTGTATCCATAGGGGAGACAATCCAAACTCCACAGTGGGTGCCTGACATGCAGGGGGTTCAGGACCCTCTGCATAGCATATTTTTTTTTCTAGCCATATACGGTGATGAAATTTAATTTATAAACCAGGCACATAAGAGATTAATAACAATATTTAGTGATGAAGTAGAACTGTAATAATATACCATGATGAATGTTATTTAAAACGTATTACTTACTTCTAGAATGTCCCATGTAATAGTTCCAGACTGGAATTGACAGCAGGTAACCAAAACCATGGAAAGCCAAGCTGTGGGGGGGGGGGGCAGGAGCTGTGTGAACACAGATTTCCAACAGAGTTTATGTGTTCCCCTAGCTGTGATTGTGCTCCCTAGCTGTGACTATGCTCCTCTAGCAGTAACTGCTCCCTTAGCTGTGACTGTGCTCCTTTTTATTTTAAAGTGCATTTATTTAAAAAAAATCTTGTATGCATTGGTGTGAAGGTGTCAGATCTCCTGGAACTAGAGTTATAGACAGTTGTGAGCCCCCAAGTAGGTGCTGGGAATTGAACCCAGGTCCTCTGGAAGAGCAGCCAGTGCTCTTAACTGCTGAGCCATCTCTCCAGCCCTATGACTGTGCCCCCTTAGCTGTGACTGTGAGAATGTTACTGCAGTGAACCTGTTTGCTTTCTTGCTCCAGATGTGTGGTCAGGGCAGAGTCCCTGTCTATCAGGGATAGTCTGTGTGTGTTTGCCCTTCTGAGGAGAGCACGGTTGTGACTACACAGCACAGACAACTGTGTGATCTCCTTTTCTCCATTAACCTGGTAACATTAAACACGGATTGATATGTATATAAACAAAGTACTTTATATGAAGAGTACTTCGTGATACTTAAAACCTCTGTGCTGGGGATTGGATCCATGGGCTAGGCAAGTACTTTTTGTAGCAACAACAAGAGGGGTAGATTTGTTTTGTTTGGTTTTTATAGAGTATTACTCTGAGAGTTCTCAAACTCTCAATCCTCCTGTTTGTCTCCCAAGTGCTGGGATTACAAGCATTTAGCACCACTGGGCTGTGTTACCTCTTTTAACTTTCCTACCTCAGTGTGTGTGTGTGTGAAAAAAAGTCAAATGGTAGAGACAGAGGTAGTTGGATCTCTTGAGTTTGAGCTTGGTTTCAGGACAGGTAGGGATACACAGAGAAACCTTGTCTGGACGCATCAAAAAGAGAAGTGATGGCTCAGCGATTAAGAACACAGGCTGCTCTTCCAGAGGTCTCAGTTCAATTCCCAGCAACCACGTGGTGACTCACAACCATCTGTAATGAGATCTGGTGCCCTCTTCTGGCCTCCAGGCACACATGCAGGTAGAACACTATATATAACAAACAAATCTTTAAAAGAAAAAAGAAAGAATGGGAAAAGGAAAGGCTAAGACATTACAGATAATACCTTTAAAAATGTTAATTTTTTAAAATGATAGCTTTGTAATTCTGGCTACAAATGTGAGTATTTGAAGGGCACACTGATGAATATCATTTGTTTTCATTTAGTGTTATTTCATTGGATTCATAGATTATTGGATCAAATGAATCTGGTGTGTGTGTGTGTGTGTGTGTGTGTCTAGCTGGTGTGTGTGTGTGTGTGTGTGTGTCTAGCTGTCCTGGAACTCACTATGTAGACCAGGGTGTCTTAAGTTCACAGAGATTCACCTGCCTCTGTCTCTCCTGAGTGCTGGGATTAAAGACATGTTCCACCTCTACCCCACCTGAATCTGACTTTTTAAAAGGCTCTGTAATTTATTGTCAAATTGCTCTCCTGGGGGGGGTGGAATCTGGCCAGTTCATACTTCCAGCCATGCCCATATCAGCAGCAGGCTCACTTAAATTTTTACACTCTTGTTTGCTGGATAGGAAACTTCCTGCAGGTGCACCCCTGAATCTGCTGTGAGCATCTCTGAGTTCACACCTCAAACCGGGGTAGAAAAGAGTCCCTCATCTATTTCATTCGAAGTTTTTGTCTTGCAGCTGATTTTGGTGTGTCTGCCAAGAACCTGAAAACTCTGCAAAAGCGAGATTCCTTCATAGGAACGCCTTACTGGTGAGTTGAGAGGCCTCTGAGGAATTGATTGACAGGCTAAATACCAAGCCTAAACCCATGGTTACCTCCAGGTGGATTGTATGTGGGGGGCAGGATGCCAAACTCTCCCATTGTGGGTCCAGCCTCCACTTCTCTGCTTAGGACAAGTTGCTTAGTTTCTCCATACCTCATCCGTAAACTGGGGTTACAGTGGAAAGCACCCTACTAATAAACTAAGCTGGGTCCCTTCCAAAGGGCTTCGGTTCTTAATTTGATTAACACAAGTACTGAGTTCTGGGTGCTGGGCTACGGGTGGGGACAAAGGAACAATGTAAATTCACTTCCTGTCCTCATGAGAAACCTCCCTGGGCCTCTCTTGCCTGTTGTGTTTCCCTTTTCAAAACTATAGCTTTAAAAAAACATCCATGAAAAGAAAGTTCTCTGGTAGAGGAAGACACCTGAAGTCTTGCTTTGGCCGAAGTCTGCAGTCATGTGGCTCTGAGCACCCACTCTCACTCGTGCAGTGCTCAGGTGTGGCCCTCACCCCAAGCCCACAGCTCTCTTACTCAGTTTCACACCTGGTTTACTTTGTGTCCTGTTTTTACAACTCACTGCGGTATTCAGCCCTTTCCTTGCTTGCTTATTACTCTTAACTCTTTCTCTCCCACCCCACCCATTATTCCTTTCTCTTCTTTCCCAGCCTCCCCCTTTCTCTCTGTGCTGTGCTATTCTGTCTACCTCAGTGTCCCACCTTGTTTTTTTGTTGGAACCTTCCCCTCTGCCCCCATCCACCTGCCCCTCCCCCAGGACTCTGTTCTGGATTGCTGCTGACACCTTGTGGTAGGTTCCAGGAACTGCAGCAGGCTGTGGCAGGGGCTCATGAAGATCCCTGAGGAAGACAAACGGATGCCAGTAATTCAAATCATGCCTTCAAATGCTGCCAACCTCCAGTGTGGAGCTGGTGGTATTCCAGACCCTGAGGCTACAAATAGCACTTACAGGGGCCCAATTCTTAGCCCTTATTGTTCCTTGATTGGCTCAGGATGGCCCCTGAGGTGGTACTCTGTGAGACCATGAAGGATGCCCCGTATGACTACAAGGCTGACATCTGGTCCTTGGGCATCACACTGATTGAGATGGCGCAGATCGAGCCCCCACACCATGAGCTCAACCCCATGCGGGTCCTGCTCAAGATTGCCAAGTCGGACCCTCCTACACTGCTCACGCCCTCCAAGTGGTAAGGAGAGGGGACGGCTGGGTACTTAAAGAGGTCTGAAGTCACTCCAAGGGGACATGGGTTGTATATGTGTGTATCTGGCTCTTGGTACAGCAGACTTCAAAGTCAGGGATGTTGGAGCCAGGGGCCGGGGCAGGGCAGAGCACCTCCAGGCCTTTCTGAATTACCTGCCTGAACTTGGTGCAGGAGACATAAGAGACCCCATTTTGTCCCTGGACACGGAGAACCTAAATAGCCCCAGCAGCCACGTGGCCCGGGGCTGGGAATGGGGACTTGGGTTCAGTCTCTGTTCCTCTTTGGCTTCTGTCCTGATCTGGACAGTGATGTCACGTAGACCCTGTCTCCACTTTTAGGCATTGGAGGCCCCTTTGTTCTTGGAGTGTTGTTTTGGGGAGACACCCAATCCCGGGCACATGGTGTTGTCTGTGTTATAGCCCACTCCTTACACCTGTCCTCCCAGGTCCGTGGAGTTCCGAGACTTTCTGAAGATAGCATTGGATAAGAACCCGGAAACCCGGCCCAGTGCTGCCCAGCTGCTGGAGGTGAGTGGAGGTTGATAGCAGTGAGCCCTTGAAGGGTGGCCGTGAGAACAACATGACGTGCAGTCAAGTGCCTAACTCAGCTATGAGGCAGGATGTTCAAAGAATGCTCGATGTGTGCAGTGTATTATTTAAAAAGTGAGAGGAGCTGTGGTGGCTCACACTTCTAAGTCGAGCACTTAGGAAACAGAGACAGGAAGATGACTGCAAGTTCAAGGCCAGCCTGGTCTACATAGCAAATTCCAGACCAGCCAGGGCTACGCAGCAAGGCCACCTCAAAGAAAAAGAAAAGAAAGAAGTGTGCTGGGAGCTTCCGATTTTCCTTTCACACTTCTGATTCACAATCAAATGTGTGGTCTTCCCGCAGGCCCATTTTCAGTGGGTTGTGTTTATTTATGGGATGGGCTGCTGCCACTGTCAGATTCAAAGGCTCAAGCCACTTGGGACCAGTTGCTTCCTGTACACACACCTCCTGTGCTGGGGCATCCGGCCAGCCTGACATTGCCAGGGCAGGGACCAGCTGTCCTACCCCACTTGGCAGCCCGAAGCCTTAGCCGGAGCCAGGAATTCCCACTTCCTAGCTAAAGCAGTTGTCTGCCCAGGGACTCTCAGTGTGCAGTGGAGGAGGGCACAGTGTGGAGGGGAGGAGCAGAGGGAGGAGCTCTACCTCAGTCTACCCAGCACCTGTCCCAGGATAGGCCTGGAAGCACACACTGATCTCCCAGACCCTAGGACACTGGGCTCAAAGGAGCAGTCCCTGCCTGAGGTCACCTGGTTCAGGGCACCTCGGCCCTGTGTCTGTTGCTTCTGGGACTAGAGGCTCAGTCATGTGGTGTGCACAGATGTCACTGGGCCAGTGTCCTACTGCTGTTGGTGGCCTAGCTCTGAAATTAGGCACCTCTAACCAGGTGTGAGGGATTTTCTCTGTGCCTCGGTTTCTTCCTTTGTCAGATGACTCAGCGGTGAGATCTTGTGTGCCACGTTTTAACATGGAAAAGCATTCCCCTCATTCATTTTGTTCTAGCACTCACCCACAGCCATTTGGCAGCCATTTCCACAGGTTCAGAGGTGGCAGTGAGCTCAGGCCTTGTCACTCCTGCCATCCCACCCTGGCCGGCTCCTGCCTTCCTGCCCCTCCCCTCCCTGCTCACTCCCTGCCTGCCTTCTTCACTTACCTCCCTGCACAGCCTGTGGACATGGTAAGCGCTGGCCTTTTCTGGCCCCTTGGGGGGACTTGCTGTGATCAGAGCTGGCCTGTGGGGCCCCTGGCTATGGGCCCCTAGCACATTCACCCCGAACCCAGACCTTTGTCCCCGTGTCTCCTTGGATGCCCAGAGCCACTTCAGCCTCGCCAGCAGCCGCACAGAGCACTCTGATCCCTCCTCAGGCACACTCCACAGCAGCTGCCCATCTCCAGCTTTCACCCTGGCACTCTCATTCCCCACATCTCTCCCATCATGGACACTATATTCCCTCTGCCTTCAGGACAGACCCGGAGCCCACCACCTCCGTGAGGCCACTGTCAAGCTGCGTTGCCCTTTGCTCGGTCGGTGACTTACTTGGTGGTTGCTGTGCCATTCCCAAGTCTGTTCTCAGAGGGACCTTGTAAGCAGGATTCATGCCCTTCCCCCTGAACAGAACCCTGCAGTTAGCATGGGTAGTACTTGCCCTTCCAATTGTAAAGGCAACTTACCAGGTAAAGGCAGCATAGAGGAGGGATTTATTTGGCTTCCTGCTTGGGGGGGGGGGGGATCTCAGTCTACCCGTGTGGGTAAGGCCTGGCAACTGGAGGGGACTCTGGTCTTGGCCATGGTAGCACACGGGGAGCTGTTTGCATGGCAGTAGGAGTGAGAGTTGCCACCATGAGTGGGGTGGGTGTGTGACCTTTGAGGGCACACATCTAGTGACCTTCCGCCAGCCAGACTGCACCCCTAATGGTCTCACAGCTTTCTAATAACACCAAAAGCTGGGCATCAAGTATTCAGAACACCCGCCTGTGAGGAACCTTCTAGATTCGAACCCTGACAAGAGTGTTGAATCTCTGATGGCAGCAGCCTGGCTCCCAGACATATCCCCAGAGCGGTGCCTCGCATGTATTCACTATGGAAGCCAACTTAACGTTTACCTGATGAACATTCTCAAATACTTTCTCCATGCCACCTGCTGTTCCAGACACTTAGTAGACATTAACTAAGGCAGTGCCCACAACAGCTTTGTGTAGTAGGAGCTGGGCACTCTCTATCGGGCAGATGAAGAGGCTGCTCAAGGTCATGCAGCTGTGACAGCTAGTGTCCTCATTCTGGCGACTTAACTCTGAAGTCTGTGCTCTTGGCCCCTCTGGGAAGCTGCAGCTAATGAGTAGAGGAAAGAAGAAAGGCCCAAGGAGGGCTGAAGGCCCAGGTTTAATTCCCAGCACCCACATGGCAGTTCACAACCGTCTATAACTCCAGTTCCAGGGGACCTGTCACCATTTTCAGGCCTCCACAATCACTGCATGCACATGGTACACAGACCTGCACAGATAACAACAACCAACTTGTACATATAACATGAAAATAAAGGTTAAAAAGAAACAAAGAGAACGGTTGCAGACTGGGGAGCATACTTTCATCTCTCTCTCTCTCTCTCTCTCTCTCTCTCTCTCTCTCTCTGTTTCTAAGTGCATTGAAAAAAAATAGGCTCACTTAGAAAGGGCATCTGTTTCAGTGGCAGCAGAGATCCTGGCCAAAGACAGGTGCCAGTTGGCAGGCCGTAAGCTGCCACCTCCATGCTGGCAGCTTGAAGCCCTCAGCAGAGCTGGCTCTGAGCAGCCATCCCTCTTCTTGGAGGGGTAGATAATGAGGCCAGCTCTGATCTGCCCTTCTTGTGCGTGGGGGGGGGCATGAATGCCTAGACCAACCTGCCTGGTGTAGCACATGGAGTGTTTGCCCAATGTTTGGCCACGTGGGGGTGGGGTGGCTCTTAGGTTCAGCTCTCGGAGATCCTCAGCATTTGAGTTAGACAAAAAATTCTCTAAACCCACATCTAGAGGTGGTGGACTGATGCTGTGCAGGCCACACTGTTACTTGTGTCTCAGAGCTTTGACACAGTTGCCCACACACCAGCCACCTGCCCTAGGCCCCTTGCAGGGAGCTGTCCTGTTTAACTGGCCCTCCTCCTCCTGGGGACCCGGAGCTCTGGGCAGGCAGAACAGATGGTTCTCCTCAAGAGTTGCTAATTTGGTCAATATGTGGGGCGCCCTGTTGAAAGCCTGGTATCCTCAGACTCCTGGGCCTGCGCTGGCTCCTGCCTCGGCTGCCTTGGCTGTAGTGCCCTGTGGTGTCCCTGCTCAGGTCGTGTATTAGAGTTCAGAAACTGGGGCGGCCTGGAGGTTCTCCTCGTTCCCAGAGAACTGTGCTCTAGTAGAGGAATGGTGAAGAGACTACATGGACTGTTCTCCTGCTCCTGCTGCGGTGCTGGTGGCTGTGGTGGTTGTAATGGTAGTGGCGGTGATGGTGGTAGTGATGATGGCTATGGTGACAGTGGTGATGGTGGTGATGGTAGTGGTGGTGGTGGTGATGATGGTGGTGATAAAGGCTGTGATGACAGTGGTGATGGTGGTGATGATGATGGTGGTGATAAAGGCTGTGATGACAGTGGTGATGATGGTAGTGATAACGGCTGTGGTGATGGTGATGGTGGTGATAATAGTGATGTTGGTTGTGGTAGTAGTGATGACAATGAGGATAGTGATGATGGTGATGATGGGGGCGATGGCAGTAATAGTGATTATGACGATGGGGTATAGTAATGGTGATGGTTGTAGTAATGGTAATAGTGCTAGTGACGGTGATAACGGTGATGATTGTGGTGTTGCTAGCACTGTGTGATGACAAGAGCTGTGCTGTTTTGGACACTCACTATAGTACATGAACAGCTATACAATTATTCCCACTCCACAGATGGGCAAAGTAGGGCACAAAGAGGGTCTCCTGCCTCTTTGACAGTGGGAGCTGGATTTTACCCAAGTGGCTTGCTTGGCTCTGTCACCTGGTCAGCACACTTGACCCTGCATATTCCGGCGACCTGTCAGTTAGTTTTATGACTAGCCCACTCAGGACCTCTGGAAGCATGCAGCAGCCAAAGTAACACGCTACTGGGTATCAGAGCTTCTGAGAATAAGCAGGGAATGGCCCTCACTGCCCCAGGCTGGCTGTCTGTGTGGCTCTCTGTGCTGCCCAGGCTCCCTGTCAGCATCCTGTGCACATCTCCCAAGCACAGCCGGAGGCCCTCCTGCTCTTACTCCACCCTCTAAGCCCAAGCTTACCTCAGGGTCTTTGAAGGCTGTACCTGGAGTTTTCCCTAACTTTCCCCCACAGGTCCCCAAAGTCCCAGCTTGAGTGTGACATCTCCCTTCTCAGAAGGCTCCCAAAAGACATAGGAAACTCCACCATGCTCCTGACTGTTGTTCTGTCATGGGCCGTCTGACTCCTTTGGTGAAAGGCTCAGCCCAGCCAGGCCCTGGCACATGAGCTCACAGACTTGCAGTTACTGCATAGCTGCATAGAGAAGCAGGGGGCAAGTGGGAAAATTCACAGCTCCACTAGATTAGATGAACCGAGGTTAGACTGGCCTAAGAAAATGTGACAGACACAGCTCATTAACACAGTGACGTATGTGGCTCTCAGGACAAGTTGAATAGGGAGTGACCTGCCAGCTGTCCACCTGCCTTGCTGAGTGACTTTTATGGTGCCGGGGTTTGATCTCAGGGCCTCACACATGTTAGAGAAGCACTCTGTTCCTGCTCTGTTCCGAGACCCAAAGGAAACTTACTCATTTTCATGTTATGTGTGGATTGGCCCAGGCATGCTTGTTCCATGGCATAGTACGGAGGTGAGAGGGCAGCTTGTGAGAGTCAGTTTTTTCCTCCCATCATCTGGGACACGGGGGTCAAACTCGGGTCATCAGGTTTGCCTATAAGTGCCTCTACCTACTGTGCCATCTCAGCAGCCCTGGGAACATTTTAAATGTCCAAACAGATAGGAATGGCTTCTCGTAGATTTACCAGTTCTGGGTTTTGTTTTTTTTAACTTTTTTTTTATTCATGTGCATGGGTATTTTGCACCACATGTATACAGTGCTCATGAAGGCCAGAGGAGGGTGTCAGATCCCCAGGATGGTTGTGAGCTGCCATGTGGGTGCTTGGGAATTGAACCTGGGTTCTCTGAAAGAGTAGTTAGTGCTTTTAACTGCTGAGCCCTCTCTCCAGTCCCCATGTATTTTTAAGGTGTGAGAAGTGTAGTCTTTTAAGTCATTAAAAGACTTCCCCAACAATTTTGTTGACACCATTCCTCCACAAATCAGATTTCTGATAATAGCGGGTTTCATTAGAGCCTTGCCACACACCTCAAATGAGCAAATTTCAACCCAGTGATGCCCTAAACCCCTGGCATTCCTTCCCCTCTGCCCACCGTGACGAAGGGACAGAGGAATCCCACTGTGGCCACTCCCTGTGCCAGAGAGGAGATATCTGCAGATGGTGTCTCTGCAGTGCTTTTCCAGGGTGCTTCAGGCTGACCAAACATCCCAAGGTCTTTTGCCTTAGAGTTTTATAAGGTCTATAAAAGAGAGCACACCCTTTGAGAAGTACCATTTGTGTAAAAGCCTAGAATAGAATACAGCCCACTGCCAGGAGTCTCTGCATTGCCCTTCTGAAACCAAATATATAAATTTCCACCCAAAGACAACAGATGCAAGACTGTCCCTAGTTGCTTACTTCATCGTCACCCAGAGCAGGAAACACCTCCATGTGTCCAACAGCAGCAGGATGGTTAACATGTTCCTCCAGGGGGACAGTGTCCTGGAAACAAAAAGAAGCATAGAGTGGAACTCAATGGTAGAAAGCACTGCTTAGCATCCATCCCAGCAGCGAAGTGACCTGGTAGTGAGCCTCGGGACCTTGGGCAGTGGATGGATCCTTGCATCTGCCACAGAATAGAATCTTGGGGACTGGGGGTGTAGGCCAGTTGGTAGAATACTAGTCTAGAGTGCACAAAGCCCTGGGTTCAGCCCCTGGCATTGCATAAACTGGGTATATTGGTGCATGCCTGTGATTCTGGCACTAGGGAGGTGGAGGTAAAAGGATTAGACATTCAAGGTCGTGTTTGGCTACATATGGAGTTCAAGGCCAGCCTGGGTTACATAAAAATCTATTTTGGAAGAAAAAAAATTAAAACAAGTCAGAGTGAAACAAAGTTAGCAAACTTACTGATTAAGCAAGAAGATACCTACTTAGATGGAGTTCATGTGATTGTGAGAGACACCTTTTGAGACCCTATGATGGCGGCATATACAGTATGAAGCAGCTTAAATGAACAACTAGTTCAGGGCCAGGATGTGCTGTCATGCTTCTTGTTCATAGAATTCTGTCTTTAAAGAGGCTTTGTAGGCACTTGGTACAGTTGGGTGTGGGAGGAGATCTTAGTTGTTTTTCACTAGCTGCAATAAGACACCATGTCCAAGGCAACTTACAGAAGAATGAGTTTGTTGGGGCATTCAGTTTTAGGGGGTAGAGTTCATGACCATCAATTGGGGGAGCATGAAGCTGGGACAGTAACCAAGAGTTCATATCTTGATCCTCAAGCATGATGCAGAGGAAATAACATGGGAATGGCACAAGTCATTTGAAACTCCAAAGTCCCAGTGACATACCACCTCCAACAAGACCACACCTCCTAATCCTTCCTAAACAGTCCCACCAACTGGGAGCCAAGCATTAAAACAGATGAGCCTATGGGGGCCATTCCCAAACTGCCACATTCTACTGCCTGGCCCCAAAGGCTCATGGCCATATCAGAATGCAAACCGTATTTAGTCTGTATTAGTCAGGGTTCTCTAAAGGAACAGAACTGGATGGAATGAAGCAGCTGAATGGGTGAAGGCTAGGGAGAGGAAGCATAGCTTAACCACAGACACAGACACACACACACACACACACACACACACACAGACAGACACACACACACACATACAGACACAGACACAGACACACACACATACAGACAGACAGACACACACACACACACACACACACACACACACACACACACACACACGGCACCATCATCCCATAAAAAAAGAACAAACAAAACCAGGGGCTGAACTTGGTTTTATAAGGCAGCACTTTGAAGAGCTTCATGACTCTCTATGGTTTCAGCATGGCATGGTTTCAGCGTGGCTGTCTGTCCTTTGGAAATGAAGAGACTGGCTCAGAGAGGAGGAGTGGCATGTTTAGGGTCACACAGCTTGAGTCACAGACTTGGTGGTTATTCTCTTCCCTCTACATGCAGGGCTTTCTGATCTGCTGCAGGGTTTTAACAACTTCAAAGTTCATGTGTTGCCTTGGCACTACAGCTGGCCCTCTTTGCCCCAAGATCAAATCCTGCATCTACTCCTACCCCACAACAGCCTCCAGACGGCTCTAACGTAGGTGTGCCTTCTCCTCAGCACCCCTTTGTCAGCAGTGTCACCAGTAACAAGGCTCTTCGGGAGCTGGTGGCTGAGGCAAAGGCTGAGGTGATGGAGGAGATCGAGGATGCCAGGGAGGATGGCAAGGATGACGTCGAAGAGGAGGATGCTGTAGATGTCACCTCGGTAAGTCTGGGGAAGGGGGGTGGGCCACAGACACCTCTGGGAGGGAGGCTGGGGAAGGGTTCCTTTCTCTTGGGACCTACTGGCTGGGAGCCCCAAACACCCACGGCCAGGGTGAGGCTGAGCTGTAGATTCTTGAGCGTGTAGAACCTAGAGCTGACTTAGGATCCCTGTTGTTCTTTTGCTGCGCAGCTAATGCCTAAGAAACACAAACACGAGACTCAGCGCCCACGTGGAGTTTATTGAGAGGGGGAGAGAAAGAGGGGGTAGCTGGTGGCCAACCGAAAGCAGGAGAGAGAGAGAGAGGAAACAGAGAGAGAGCAGAGAGAGAAAGCAGAGAGAGGCAGAGAGAGCAGAGAGAGAGAGAAGCACTTGGCGCACTTGCTTTAAAAGAGGCTTGCGCATGCGTAACTGAGTCCTCTGGCCGCCAGGTAAAGCTGATGTAGAGATGACAAGGCCATGAGCATCCCGCCCATCCTCGGGGCGGGGGTCAGCTGGCTGCTAATTCCTAACAATCCCTGTCTCACAGTCCAATCCAGGAGCTTCTCCTGGGGAACTGTTCATCTTACAGGGTCCCCAGTAAGTCAGGGTAAGTTATCATGGAGCTAAACCTGCAGGCCTTTCACGTTTTTTTTTAATTATTTATTTTTGGATTTTGAGACAGGGTCTTACTGTGTAACTTTAGCTGTCCTGGAACTCACTATGTAGACCAGGCTGGCCTTGAACCCGCACAGACCTGCTTCCCTCTGTCTCCTGAGTGCTGAGGTTAAAGGTGTGCACCATTGTGCCTGGCTCTTTTTATTTGAATTTTAAAGATTTTAATTAGAATTAGGCTTCTCTAAAATATATATATATATATATATATATATATATATATATATATATATTAAAACAAAACTCTGGTTTGGGAGCTGGGAGTTGGTGGCACACACCTTGAATCCTAGCACTCAGGAGGCAGAGACAGGCAGATCTTTGTGAGTTTGAAGCCAGCCTGGTCTACAGAGAGTTCCAGGGAAGCCTCCAAAGCTACACAGAGAAACCCTGTCTCGAAAAACCAAAAAAAAAAAAAAATCTGGTTTTGGTTCTCCTTTAGATAGAAGAGTTCCTGGCCCCTCCCACTCCCAGTTGTAGCCCCATGGCCTCCTTTCCACCTTCATGCCACATGTAGACACTTATTTTCTATTCACAGAAATGAGTATTTGATTTCATCATGACATTTTCAGTACTTTCTACCACATAAAAACTAAAATACAAGGAGTGGATGGGCAGAATCCAGCCCCTGGATAGGATTGACTGGCACTTTATATAATTTTATAATGTGAATTAGTTGCCACCTAGAAACCAACAGATAATCATGTGAAAATTCAGGTGGCTGAGACAGGCATGTGGCTCGGATGGTAGAATGCTGGCCTGAAACCCTGGGCTTCTTTTCAACACCACATAAAACTGGGATGTGGTATATACCTGTAATCCCAGCACTGGGGAGAGGGAGACTGAAGGATCAGAAGTTTGTGGTCAGCTTCATCTACACAGCAAGTCTGAGGCCAGCCTGAACTACTTGAGACCCTATTACAAAAACAGACAAACAAACAAAAAATCAGAAAACTCAAAATTCAGATGGCCAGTGTGTCAATGTGTATTGAGAAATTGGGAGGCCTGGCCTTAGGTGAGGCAGGTATTTCCCATGCTGTGACAATTCGCTGGGCCTGTCTATAGCCAGCCACAGCCTGTTTTTCTCATAGGATGGGAGCAGTGATTAGGTTGAGGAGAGGCTGTGGGAAGTGATGAAGACTAGGCTTAAAGTCCTGGCTCTGCCCTGCTGGCCTGTCATCTGTGGGCCTGACTACTGCCCTGGACTCCTGGCAGCTCAGCCCTGACTCTTTTCTAGCCCCTGGTCAACCATACTCAGGACTCCGCTGGTGCAACTGAGCCAAGCCTCAACTCTGACAAGCCTTCCCAGGATTCTTGTGTCACCCTGCCTCCCAGACAACCTCAGGAGCCTGTGAACGGACCCTGTAGTCAACCTTCAGAGGATGGATCCCCCCAAACCACCAGCCCTGCAGATGTGGTCCCCAAGAATGACAATGACTTAAAGGTACCCCTTGCCCTCCGGAAATCACGACCGTTATCCATGGATGCCAGAATTCAGCTAGCCGAAGAGAAAGAAGTCACTGGCCAGGCTGAGGACTCCAGTCCTTTGGCCAGCAAGTCCCAAAAGGCAAGCCAGAGCCGCCCTAACAGTGTTGCTCTGGAGACTTTGGGTGAAGAGAAGCTAGCCAATGGTGGCCTGGGGCTCCCCAGCACTGTAGTTCCAGGCCATGCTAAGAGGGCCTCAGATTGCAGCAACCTGTCTACCTCAGAGAGCATGGACTACGGCTCCTCCCTGTCTGCTGACCTGTCACTGAACAAAGAAACAGGATCACTGTCTCTCAAGGTATTTCACCTGTCACCCTGGGGGCCAGAGCAGTCACAATGGCCAGTGTGGCATGCTCAGATCAGTTCTCAAAAGCCTGCAGCAACTACTTATATTGTATTTGGTTTGAGTTTCCATAAGAGGTGCTGGGGTGAACCAAGAGCCTAGAGGGTACTAAGTGCACGTGCACGTGCACACACACACACACACACACACACACTCATACACACACACAAGTGCACATACGCACGCACTTATGCACACACATCCTCAGACTCTTCTTATTTTAAATGGCTCATGAGTGTGGCTCTTTCTTAAAGATTTTCACTCACCTCATGACTTGATACCCCATGTATTTGGGTCAGTATAATACATGTTTAAATTTTGAAGTTTGGTTAAAGAGCTTAAAATTAGGGAAAGAGCATTCCAGAAGTGGAAGTTCTCTTGCTTGGGGGTCAACTGTGTGGCCAGTGGCTGCCAGGTAGATTCAGCGAGGGGATCTAGGCTCCTTCTCCTCTCTGGCCTCCTTTCTGGCAGTGAGTGACACTAAGTGACTGTAGCCACTCTGTACAAAGTACTTTAAACATAAATGAAGGACTGTTTCCTCCCACAGTTTCCAGATGGGCAGGAGAGTTGAAAAGAAGTTGGCAGCTGGCACAGGCTGTGTGGGTAGGAGCAGGGAGGTGGTCAGACCTCGGGCTGGGCTCCTGGCCTCGTGTGCCTTTAGCCCTCTCCTCTTCCAGCAACTAGGAGGGGTGGGCCCCTTTCCTTGTCTTTCCCCAGGAGTTCTGTGATACTATTACACTTACTATGGGTCACCTGAAGCCCCAAACAAGATGACTTAGGGGTCAGGGGGGCGAGGTGATGCTGTGTATTTATGTATTGCCTTCCAAGACTTAGTGTAAAACACACAGTAGAGATTCACACATCTGTTAAGTAGAAGGCGGTGAAGGCAGAAGCAACCCCAGGCCTGCAGTAGCCTCTGGATCAGAGGCTCCGTCAAGCAGACATGTCCACAGCAGCTTTCCTTTTCATCTCCTCAGAACTGACACAAACTGTCATCAATTGTAGTTGCCCAGCTGTTGCCAGTGGCTCTTATGTAGAAGCACCATCTTGTACTTCTTCCTTCTAAAAGGAAGGCTGGAGATGTAGCTGGGTGGTAGAGTGCTTGTTGCAAGTACACATGGCTCTGGGTTCAATCTCCAGCACCATTTTAAAAAGTAGGCACTGAGTGCCCAGAGCTCAGGTGAGGTGTGCTAGGCAGCAGCACACAGAGCAAGGAGCCAACTCTTATCCACCCTGGTGTGCCCACTCCTCTTGAAGGAGCTAGAAGGCCTGTGGGCCAGGTTGCAGAGGCAGGGCTACATTCTAGGAGGAAGGACTTTGGGGGTGGGCAGAAAGTTCTGAGGCAGTGGGCAGGCAGAGGCCATCAGATAACCACTGTAGACCCGTAAGCCCTCATCGGAGTCAGAGCCCAACACTTCTACCATGACCCCTCTGTGAGTGGCCTTTGTGGAGTGTGCAGTTTCGTCACAGAAGGAGAGGATTGAAAGGAATGGTCCCATGAGACAATGGGCAAGCACAGCCACCAAGAGCTTCAGCTAGCTAGTTGAGGTCCCCAAACCTAATAGGAATTGTGCTCTGTGATCTGACTGGCAGAGGTAAATCCCATGCCATGTGTGCCCCATGGATTCTCATCAAACCTTCATGACCACCCAGGGAGGCAACTTCTGTTCTGATACTCCATGGACAATGGCCAAAGCCGAGATTCAGGCAAGACAAGGGTCTTGTCCAGTCACAAAGCCACCAGTGGCAAGTGAGGATGAACATAGTCCTTTTTGGTGTTGAGACTGTGTTTCACAAGAATGCTTCAGTGTAGTGTCTGATGCTGAGATCAGCATAAGAAAGGGGGTGCTAAGGCCAGGCGCTTAGGCCCTGTTTGGGAAGCTTGAGGGAGCGGGGCAGTGGGTGGTCACATCCTTCCTGGGCCCAGGCTGTGAACCTCACCCTGTCTCCATGGATTTCTAGCTGAGCTTGGGCATGTTCTTCTTGCCAGGGCTCAAAACTGCACAACAAGACCCTGAAGCGGACACGCAGGTTTGTGGTGGATGGTGTGGAGGTGAGCATCACCACCTCCAAGATTATCAGCGAGGATGAGAAGAAAGACGAGGAGATGAGATTTCTCAGGCAAGTCTGGGGAGGCACCGGTGTGGGAACCGGTGGGGGTGCTTTGCGCGTACTAGGCATTGGACCTTTGGGTGGGACAGCTGCCTGTCTACAGTGTGGAGTGGGGGATTGAGACAAAGGGAAAGTGGTTTGACTTGAGACCCCCTTCTCCTGCATTCATCTACCAATACATCTGCCTATCTGCCACCCATCTCTTCTGTCTATCTATTTACTCCTTCATCCACATGCCCAATGCCCTATCTGTCCAGCCTCTATCTACATATTCATGTGTCTACTCCTATGTTTAGTTACCTAATCCCTACCCATCCACCCATCCATCTGCCTACTCTTCTATCCACTCATTCATCTAGCTGTCTGCCTACCCACCCATCTCCAGTCCACCCAACTGTTCATCTATTTTTCCTTCCACTTATCTATTTGTTCATCCATCCATCCATCTACCTATGTATCACCCACCTGTCCACCCAGTTACCATCTGTTCATCCATCTACCCATGTCTGTACTCATCTACTCATGTCTATTCACCCATTTAATCCATCCACTCACCCACCACCTATTTACTTATCATTTGTCCATACATCCACCCAATTATTGACTCATGCATTATCTACCAAGTGAATCAGAATGGAAATCCAGATACATAAAGCTATCCCCCGTGTTGAATTTATACCTATACCAAACACAATACACAAGCTAATTGTCGATTGTGCTACACACTGTGAAGGAAGGAATGGGTGATACGACGCTGAGTGTCTGGGCTGAGCAGAGATTGCTCATAGGGACCTCACCATCACCACCCTGAGTTGAGCTTGAAAGATGATGTGAATCCCAGAGCTAGAGGAGTGCTGAGAGGATCTGCAGTTGCTGAGGCCCTGGTGGGTGACCTCTTGATTTGTATCAAGATCTTAGAGAACAGGACTTGAGTATGGAATGCTGGGACATGGTAGGACTATGGTCTTTGTGGGGGTTGGACCCAGGCTATGGAGGGTAAAACTGACTTGGGAGGTGAGAAGAATGTCCAGGACCATCAGACTCAGGTTTAGGCTGGGGCAGTGGCCAGAGGGGAAAAGGCATAGGACTCAGTGAGATCGAGAGAGGGAGAGGACAGAGAAGGAAGTGAAGGCAAAGCCACTCTTCTGTAACAGCCCCACATGTCCCAGTTGTCTCCAGCAGTCCTTCCCCGGGGACCCTGTTCCTCATGTGCATGTAAGGAAACTGTGTTTCTTGGCAGACAAACTGCAAGTTCTGGGTCTCTAGTTGACAAGGAGCAGAGCGGAGGTTCTGCCTGAGAATTCTTCCAGTTTTTACTGTGCACTGTGACTTCTTGAGGCTGCTGTTGAAGAGTGGGTTGCTAGGCACTCAGGGGGCTCAGAGCATCCCAAGGCCAGGGCTTTGCAGACATCACCATCGTTTGAAGGAAGCTTCTTGCATTCTGGAATAGAAATAGTTTGGGGTGTTCTAGGGGCATTTCTTCTATCTTGAACCAGTGGAGTGAAATTTAATTATAAATGACATTGTTACAATCATCCCCATCCAATCCAGAATGTCAGTTGTGTAAAGGTATTGCCGGTGTCTTTCAAATGTTCTACTAATTTATATCAATAACACATGGAGTCTGAATTACCCTATATGCTTGTCTGTTTAATAAATTTTTTTCTTTTATATTTGTATTTCTTATCATATAAATAATTTTAAAGTTTCTTATTTTTGCACTCGTTTTTGCTTTATGTCTTCATGTTGTGTACCATTTTGGGGGTTTGTGGTTAGTTACTTCCTCCTAATTGATTTGTAAATGCTCTTTATTTATGGAGGATACTCATCTTTTAAAAGAAGCCTGAATCTTGGTCATGTCTCTGCTTAAGTCAGTGGGATTCTACTCCACAGTCTATCCCTTCATGGCCTGGGCTGTGAATACTGATGTATTAGAGACCCCCCCATCTCACTAGGAAGTGTTTGTGTCTATTAATCTTCAGGCGCCAGGAACTCCGAGAGCTTCGGCTTCTTCAGAAAGAAGAACATCGGAACCAGACCCAGCTGAGCAGCAAGCATGAGCTGCAGCTGGAGCAAATGCACAAACGTTTTGAACAAGAAATCAACGTGAGTGAGAGGAGACAGGCTTCTGGCTTCCATTTTTTCTTCAGTTGGGGGTGTTGCAGAAGGGAGTGATTAGGTCACAGTGACCCTGAGTCACATAGGAAGACCTCTAGAGGTAGAGTGTTGTGCCACTGTCCTGTCAGGTCCAACCAGGAAACATCTCAGAGAGGTTAAGTAACTTGCCCTGGGTCACACAGCAAAGGGTGTCAGGGCTGGGGCTCAAGTCTGGGTTGGTCAGACCCTGAGGTATGATGTGGATGCCTGAGTGTGTGCACCTTCCAGGCCAAGAAGAAGTTCTACGATGTGGAGCTAGAGAACCTGGAGCGGCAGCAGAAGCAGCAGGTGGAGAAGATGGAGCAGGACCACAGTGTGCGCCGCAAGGAGGAGGCCAAGAGGATCCGCCTGGAACAGGAACGAGACTACGCCAAGTTCCAAGAGCAGCTCAAGCAGATGAAGAAGGAGGTAGTGGAGTGCTGGGGATGGTGATAAAATGCTGTGGCCACAAGGAGCTGGTCAGGAGAGGGTTTATTTCAGCTCCTGTTTCCAATGCACAGTCCATCACTGGGGGAAAGGCAGGGCAGGAGCCTGGAGGCAGGAGCTGATGCAGAGGCCATGGAGGAGTGCTGCTCACTAGCTTGCTCCCCATGGCTTGCTCAGCTTTCTTGTAGAACCTAGGATCACTGCCCACGGATGGCCCCACCCACAACGGGCTGGGCCCTCCCTCACTGATCATCAGTCAGAAAAATGTACCGAGTGCTTGCCCACAGGCCAATCTCATGGGTACATTTTCTCAACTGAGGTTCCTGCTTCTCAAATGACTCTAGCTTGTGTCAAGTTGATATAAAAATAGCCAGCACAGCCTGCCTTGCTGAGAGAGGGGCTGCATGGAGCCAGTTAATCCAAGACTTTGAGGGCAGCCACACTGGGGCCTTGGTGCCTCAAAGCCACGATGCGTTAGCCTTCTCTGTGTCTTTTGAGTGCCTCTTTCCTGTGTTGGCTCTCCCTCCAGGTGGGTCCTTCCTAAGCGGCTTCTGTTAGTGTCTTTTACAACCTCTTAGACAAAAGAGAGCATTGAAGGTAGTAGAGATGGCCACCACTAAAATTGGAGGTGCTCTTCCCACAAGGGAGGCAATGCAGGGGAGGCCCAGGACATTCTGACCCCTGTGCTCTGCCTTCTTTTGGTTGTCATCCTCCCCTCAGTTGGAAGGGGGAGGTAAGGAGATGCATGGCCCTGAGATGACAGAACCGGGGTTCCCAGACTCAGCCTGGCAGGTCGTGCCCTGCTGGAGACTGAGGCACCCATATCTGCTGCGGCCCTCTGCTTAATACCCACCCCCCGGGAGTCTAAGGATGTCCCAGCCCTTAGTTCTCCACCATTGGGAGATATGGGCAGCTCTGAGACCCAGATGCCCTGTGCACAGCCAGGCTGAGTCGTCTCCCTGCCTCCCCTGGGACAAAGGCCCATGCTTGTGCTGTACTGGTTCCCGACCACTGAGTTACACCCAAGTTCCTGGTTTAGTTCGACATGGGTTTTTTTTTTTTTTTCTTTGTTGCTTTATTTGAAAGTTTCCATGGGAAGAGGAGGCTGTGAGGCTGTGCCCTTTCATCTTCCCAGGAGGACACTGCCATTTAATAGCTTGTGTCCCTGGTACTATTCTTGCAGGCAGCAAGCTTGACGGCTGTGGTCTGCAGATAGCTCTCTTTTCAGCGGCTCACTGTAGCCGCTCTCTCCTTCCAGAGCTCACTGGGGTTCCAGCTCTGAGTTCAGTGAACCACAAAGATGTTCCTCAGGACCCTCTCAGGGACTGACTCACTAGGGGGCACCCACAGGTTTGAGGCTGCTGCATCCACACAGCAGTGTAGTCTGCACACACCTTCCGGAGCGCCTCTAGGTCGTTCGTAATTCCCATGCAATGTCACTGCTGTGCAAGTGGTCGCTGAACTGAACCGGGAGCTGTCGCTGAACTGAACCGGGAGCTGTGATGAGGGGAAAGTCAGTTCATTAGGTTTTGCTAAGGTCTTTACTCAGTGTGCATGTTGATGAAGTTGTGTAATAGCTTGTTTCTCAGAGCGTGTCCCTGTTGCGAAGCTAAGTTTGTTAAATGGTTCAGCGTTCCCTAACCCTGCACCATATCCTTGAAAAGAACCCTGGGGACTTCTTAGTTGAAAACTAGATTGTTTTTCTGGTTGGGGAAATGGGACTCCAAAACCTCCAGTAATTAATTCATGGACGTCACTACCCTGGTATGCAGCTTATCTGTCTTCTGGTGGAACTTGGTCCCACCCTGCCATGCCTGCCATTGCACAGCTCTGCCAGAGAGCAGTGCTGGCATGTAAAGGGTCCCGAGAGTCCTTGGGTCCTTCGAGGAGTGGCCCCACTCTGTTTTGATTCATCTTCTGCCTCCCTTCTCCATCGTCAGATGTAAGAGTGTTGCCTGTGTCTTCCATGCCTTTAACAGAAAACTCAGAACCTGGGTTCTGTCTCTATTGCTGCTTTTAAATCTTCTGTTCCCCCAGACCACAGCAATCAGCTTATAAAAACACGGTTCTAAGTCTGTAGCCCTTATGTTGTGTGATAGCTCTCATGGTCACTGAGCTGGGACAGGATACCACACCTGATATAGAGGCCAAGGTTCACAGATGAACTGTTCCTTTAGGAATTTTGTTAAACCTGTGCTTATCAGCCAGAAGTCTTCTGTCGCCTGCTCTCTGAGACACTGACAGTGTCTACAAACATTTGGGGTGTGTCACAGCTCGGAGATGGAGTGAAGCAGCCTGTTGATCTCACAGCCAGGCACATTACTGATGCCCTGTAGATGCATAGGATAGCCTCCTGTCTCTCAGGTCCCCAGAGTCAGTCACACTGCAGATGGTAAACCATCTAAAGCAGAAAGTCCAAACTCAGCCTGGAAAACCCAAGACCATTTGATAAAAACATAGGAATTGGAAGAGAGGGTGGAACAGGCTAAGAGGTTGGTCTTCGGGATTCAAATGGTAAGCATGTCATACTCCTCCAGATGCTCTGAATCCATTCTCTCTTCACAGCAATGCAGGAGTGGTCCAGTTTCCCCTTGTCAACTTCACTGTCTTATTTTAGCCACCCTGATGGGTGTGAAGTGGCATTTGGGTGTGCCTTTGCATTTGCATTTCACTAATGACTAGTGACATGAGTCTCTTCATTTGCTTCTTTGTTACAGTATGCCACTTTTGGTGACATGCCTGTTCAAAAATCGTTTACTCCTTTATTTAGCTGGGAGATTGGTATTTGGACTGCCGGTACTTTGTGGGGTATTATTTTGCATGTATTCATTCTCCACCAATGGCTTGAGTTATAGTCCTCCTAATAGTGTCCTGTGTCCTTTCAGGGGTGATTCTTTTAGTGGCTTATCTAAGAAACCAAGGGATACTTCTCCAGCCCTCTGGGATGTAGTCTTTAGCAGTTTGCCATGTTGAGTTTTCTGTTTCCACTTGAGTACATTTTGAGTTGAGTTTCTGCAAAGGACGAGGTGTGAAAAGGTTTTGTTAGGGATATCTGGATGAGGTGTGAACGGGGTTGGCTAGGAATGTCTGCCCCAACATTGTATGTTGGAAACACTCACCTTCCTCTGCTAAGTTATCTTTGTGGAAAAGGAGTTAATACTGATATGTAAGCAGATCTGGTGTGGTGCGTTTTGGGTTTGTTTATCATACAGGTTCATCTGTCTGTCTCTCACCAACACTCCAGTGTCCGGGAACCCAGACTCATAGTAAACCTGACTTCAAGTGGCCTGAGTCCTATAGCTGGCAGTTGTGTCCCTTTGCCTTTTCGTACACATTGCAGCATCACCTTGCTGATCGTGTAACAAGCCAGGCAGGACTTGGATTGGCCAACTAAACAACTCTGAGCCTTCTATCCATAGGCATTTTGTACACATGCATTTTCTTGGGTCTTCCTGATAAATTTTGTTAGGGATTTTTCATTTTTAGTATTCAGATCCATCATATGTTTTGTTAGAATTATACTTATGCCATTTGGGGGATACTTTCATAAGATATTTAAAAATAATCAATTTAGGGAGCTGGAGAGATGGCTCAACAATTAAGAGCACTAGCTGCTCTTCTAGAGGACCCAGGGTCAGTTCCCATCACCGACATAGCTCACAACTGTCTGTAACTCCAGTTCTGGGAGTTTCAATTCTCTCTTCTGGCCCCGGTGGGTACCAAACACATAAGTGGTACACAGATATATATGCAGGGAAAATATCCATACACAGGAAATAAAATTAAATTATCAGTTTAGCTAATTACTACAGTATGGAGACATATTGCTGTTTATGTAGTGGTCTTGTATCTAGCCTTGCTGTCTTATTCTAGTATTTTTTCTTTGGTACATCCTTGAGGTTTTCTGTATAGACAGGAACAGTTTCATTTCTTCTTTTCAATTGATACCTCTTATTGCTCTATTGTGCTGGCTCAGGTTCCATCAGAAAGTCGGCTGGAAATAGAGTGGATGGATGTTCTTCCTCCTTGTTCCTGGTCTCAAAAGGAACACATTCGATATTTCCTCATTAAGTCCTGATATGATCATTGATTTGATTCTGATTTTTTTTTTTTTGCAAAATAGGATCTTACAAAGTAACTGGCCAGCCTAACAGCCCAGTAGCCAGCCTGGCCTTGAAGTCAGAGCTCTTCTTGCCCCTGCTCCTACCTTCTGAGTGCTGCATTGAAGACTTTTGGCCCCACCCCCGGCTTTGTTTTGTTTTTCTAGATCCCTTCAGACCAAGTTAATGAAACTCTTTTTTATGAATAGATTTTTTTTCCATGAAGGAATGTTGAATATTTTAATCTTTTGACATTGACATAATTATATGATTTTCCTTCTGTAGTTTGTTGATACGAATTGTTTGATTTTCAAATATTAAACTAGCTTTGCATTCTTTGTATAAAGGTTATACCCAGGTGTGGTGACATACTTTTAGTCCCAGCACTCAGGAGGTGAGAAAGGTAGATCTCTTGTGAGCTTGAGGCCAGCCTGGTCTACATTGCAAGTTCCAGGCCAGACAGAGTTAAATGGTGAGACCCTGTCTTTAAAAAAAAAAAAACTAAACAAACTGGGCATTGGTGGTACATGCCTTTAATCCCAGGACTCACTCTGTAGATGAGGCTGGCCTCAAAACTCACAGGCAAAGGCAGCCTTGAACAGTAAATTCCAGGACAATCAAGGTTACACAAAGAAACCCTATCTCTCAAAACCCTGTTTTTGGAAAACCAAAAACCAACCAAACAACAACAACAACAAAACACAACAGAGGGCTGGAGAGATACCTCAGAGGGTAAGTGTACTGGCTATTCTTTCAGAGATGTGGATTCAGTTCCCAGCACCCACATGACAGCTCACAATGATTCATAGCTTCAGCCCCAAGGGTTCCAACACCATCTTCTGGCTAGGCATGTACAAACATACATGTGGACAAAACATCCATACACATAAAACAAATAAGTAATTAAAAAGCCATAAGTCAAACAAACAAACAAAAAACCCTCATTTGGTCATTATTATTCTTTCTATATATTACAAGATTTAATTTGCCAGTATTTTATAAAGGAATTTTGAATCTTTGTGAATAAGGACATTGGTCTGTGATTTTCCTCTGCCTGTGTGGCTTTAGCTTTGGTACATTCTGTCTTTCCAGGCATTCGTCTCTTGTCTATGGGATCTATTTGCTGTTGGTAATACTCTCTGAGCATCTCTTTGGTCTTAGGATCAACACTGCCGCTCTCCATTCCTGATGTTTCTCTTCTCCCTTTCTCACCTTCCTCTTCCTTACTGCTCATTACCCTTCCTCTACTGGCCAGAGCAAAAGACCTAACTAATCCCACTGACCACTTCAAAGGGATGGCTCTTTGTTTTGTTGATATTCATTCCTTCTTATTTCTTCTTCTTTCTTTCTTTCTTTCTTCCTTTCTTTCTTTTTTTCTTTTAATTTTGTAATTCTGAAGGTTGGGACCCAAGACCCATGTGCATACAGGACAAACACTCTACTACTGCTCAACCCTAATTTCCACGGTTGCTTTCTGTTTTCACTGGTATTGATCTCTGCTTTTATACTTGATTTAGATTTCAATTGCTTTTATTTTCTTTTTGTTTGTTTGGTTGGTTTTGGTGTAGCCCTGGCTGTCCTGGAACTGGCTCTGTAAACCAGGCTGGCCTAAAACTCACAGATATACAAGTTTCTCCCTCTCAAGTGCTGGGGTTAAAGGTATGCACCACCACAGCCTGGCTGCTTTTATTATAAAATTACTTACTGTGGAAGTTCAGGTAATTGATTGGAGACTTTCTCCTTTTTCTGAGGATTAATGCTTGAAATTTCCCTCCATGCACTGATTTTATCTCAGAAACATGTGTGGGCTGTATTTTCATTTTTATTCAGTTCAAATTCTTTTTTGTTTTGTTTTTTTTTTTTTTGAGCCAGGGTTTCTTTATATAGCCCTGGATGTCCTGAAACTCACTCTGTAGATGAGCCTGGCCTCAAAACTCACAGAAATCCACCTGCCATTGCTCTCCTGGGTGCTGGGATGAAAAACGTGTGCCACCACAGCCTGACTCAAGTTCTTTTCTAATATACTCTACAACTTCCTCTTTGACCCACGAACTACTTACATACAATTTTGCTATGAAGATTTTAAAAGTTTAAGATTCTTTTTATGGTTCAGAACTGTTAGTAAATGTTCCTTGCAACCTTGAAAAGGTTGTCATTCTGTGTGCTGGGTGGAGTGTTGTGTAAACATCAGAGTGACAGTGTTGTGTCAGACAGACCGTATTTTCCATCTGTTGTTCAGATTGACAGTGCCAGCCTGGAGTCCCCATGAGGCTGGAGAGAGCCCACCACCTGCACCTTAGGGACTACAGTGTCTCAGCAGAGGGGCAGGGCTCCCACAGAAATGGAAACAGACCTTAGATATTGATAGCCTATCTGTGCCATAGATACTTCATGGGCCAAGCATGGCCAAAAGTCATAGTGCATCCAGCATAGGAAGGGCCCTGGAGTAAGATGTCCTCTGCCGTGTCTGCTGCAGGTAAAGAATGAGGTTGAGAAACTGCCCCGGCAGCAGCGGAAAGAGAGCATGAGGCAGAAGATGGAAGAACATTCACAGAAGAAACAGCTGCTTGTGAGTCCCCAGCCTCGGTCACTCAGCCGCAGTCATGAAGCGGGGACCCAAATGGTCCCCCTTACCTGCCCAAGCCTGCTGCTTGAATATCCACTTCCTGTTTTGAGTGCCTAAATCTTAGCCTATCGTTCGTTGACCTCTATGGTCATCTTCCCTGATCACCCTCGAACCCCAAGAGTGAGTCCTGTCATCTCTGGCCACTGTAGCCTGCATCTTAGACCTGCCTACCTTACTGAAAATTGTTTCTGTGTCACGTGTCACATCTCCTGTCAACCAAGATCAGTCATCTGTCCTGACCCATCCTTTCCCTCCACTTCTCCATCACCTCCTGAAGCTTGGTGTACACACACACACACACACACACACACACATACATACACACCACATGTTCCCCACACATATAACACACTATATAAACACACAAAACATACATGCAACACATAGCATACATACATACTAAACACACTACAGATATACACCACACACCACATGTTCCCCACACTTATAACGCACTATATAAACACACAAAACATACATGTAACATAATAACATACATACATACTAAACATACTACAGATATACACCACACACACACACACACATTTCCCAGCTGTTCTCCCTGCTTCCTTTTGCTTTTCTACACTTCTTTCTCTCAGACCAGCAGGTATTGTCGATATGAAATCCAAACCTGGCCCTATGACCCCTTTTCCCCAGCTCTGGGCTTTAAAATCCCTCAGCACTCTCCCTTTATCCGTGAGCCGAGGCCCTCCTCACTGTGCCTGCTGCTGCCCAGCCTTCCCAGGCCCCTCGTGGCTTAACCCCACCTCTCACCTCTTGCTGGAATGTTCTTTTCTCTGCTGTGGGGGGTGAGGGGTGTGGGAGGTAGGGGGGCAGTCCTTTGTACATTCTGCCTCCTCAACCCTGGGCGCAGGCAGTTGCAGCCCATATTTACAGATGCTTGACATATGATCTGGTCAAGTGTTTATGGTACCTTGGGGAAGGAGCTATTTGGTTTTCCATTTGTAGAGGAAATCAAAGCTCAGAAGGGTGACATTGCAGAGTTGAGGGCAGTAGAGCAAGGCCTGGCACTTGGCCTGACTCCAGACTTCACTGTCTTTCAGTGTTCCTCTCGACCTGTCTCTTCCTAACCAATGAGGCTGGTTATTAGTAAAAGAAACAGGTTTTTATGTTCAGCGGCACAGAAGGGTAACCGTGCCCAATAATGATGTACATTCTCAAAACATCAAGAAGAGGGTCTTAAATGTTTTACACAAAGAAATGATCAATACCTGAGGTGTTGGACATATGAGTTCCCCAAAGTCTCTGTTACACAGACATGCATGCACTGGAACAGCACACTGCATCCGTGCACCCGTGCAATGGTGAGCAGATAACTTTTTAAAACACAGGCTGGAGAGATGGCTTAGAAGTTTAGAGCATTTTTTGCTCTTGCAGGAGATCTCAGTTTGGTCCCAGCACACATGCTGTGCAGCTGGCAGCCACCTGTAACTCCAGTTCCAGGAGATACAGTGCCCTCTTCTGGACTCTACTGGCAGGTACATGTGTACATATGCATACATGACAATCAGCACCACTCACACACAAAATAAACAATTAAACAAACCAACCAGCCAAGACTGGTGAGAGAGGCAGACAGGCCCTCATCTTCAGAAACAGAGAGGAAGAGCTCTAAGTCAGCCTAGCCACCTCAGTGTAAAGCCTCAGTGTCTCCCTGCAGGACCGAGACTTTGTAGCCAAGCAGAAGGAGGACCTGGAGCTGGCCATGAAGAAGCTCACCACCGAAAACAGGCGTGAGATCTGTGACAAGGAGCGAGAGTGTCTCAGCAAGAAGCAGGAGCTCCTCCGAGGTGGGGCCCTGGAATGGTGGAAGTCAGGAAACCCCCTACCCCCACCCCCACCCCCGGGAAGTCAGGAATGAGGCAAGGATACCAGTTACCAGAGCACACAGACCGACCCTTGCCCCACTGTGTGCTAGCCAGTTTTCACACCTGACCCCATGCCATCCTCACCTGTAAGATGGCTTCTACTACAATCCTAACGTATAGTGAGGATACCGCACTGGGGAGAGTTAACTGTGTTTCTTGGTCTGTTGGCACTACTCTAAGTGGACTCTGCAGTCCAAATGGCTAAGAAGCAACAGAAGGGCAATGAAGCCCAAGGCTGAGGATCCAATGGACTCATTGCCGGGATTTCTCACCGGCATCAGTCCACACAGGTTCTCCATTCTCATTTGCCCAACAGAAAAAAAGGGGTGTTAATGTAGATTTCCCTTAATAATGTCTTTGAAGAACATTCCCACTTTGGGGTGTGCTTGTGCTATTTGGTGGAGGAGGAAGCTGTGGCTCACTCCCTGCCTACTGCAGTGCCTCGCCTTCTATGCTCCCAGGCTGCTGGGGCTTGTCATTCTTAGCTCCTAGGGCTCCGCTCAGATCAGCCAATGTGGTCTAATGAGCAAGCCCAGGTGCCTGTTCCTCTGCCTGTCCCTCTGGGTTGGTTATCAGTCCCCACAGGAGGTCTGGTGGAGGGGAGGGGTGGGAGACCCGTTCTGTCTCTGGTCTTGTCCACTCCTCACCGTGTGGGTGGTGTGTCCTCCGCAGACCGTGAGGCAGCCCTGTGGGAGATGGAGGAACACCAGTTGCAGGAGCGGCACCAGCTGGTGAAGCAGCAACTTAAGGACCAGTATTTCCTGCAGCGGCATGAGCTGCTTCGCAAGCATGAGAAGGTGAGGATGGCCAGGATGCAGGGCAGCCTGCTGTCAACACCCAGGAGGAGCTGCTGCAGTCGGAGACCTTCTCCTGTGTGCCCTGCTTGAGGGACAGGGATCAAGGGAACTGCAAGGGGCGCAGATGGTGCAGGCAGCTCCTTTGCTCACCCCAGCACTTCAGTTTTGGCTTTCAGTTCAAAAGCCAGTCCTGGGCTACTTGAGACTGCCCCCCCCACACACACACACACAAGAGAAAAAGAAAGAAAAGGGAAAGAAGGCGATGCCTCTTGACTTGTTGGGGGTTTCTATCCCTAACACCCATCCTAAATTGAAACTAACAGTAGAAATGCCCCTCAGCTGCCTGCCCTCCAGGCCTCCAGCTTAGTGGCACAGCTCTGAGGCAGCCCAGAGTAGGGTATTTCCCCTCAAGGGGCATGTGGCCGACCAGAGCTGTGGTTCGCTGCCATCCCTCAGTAGCCAGAATATTGGACTAGATTTTGATCACCCAGGAATTTCATTCCAAATTTGAAGAATGGTCTCAGCTGAGTCACGTTGTTTTCACACCACTGCGAAGTCAGAAAGCTGTGAGTCAAACCGTCAGAAGCTGGAGACACTGTGATGTTCAAAGAAAATGCAGGGCTGGTGAAATGACTTTGTGGATAAGGGAGCTTACCACCAAGCCTGATGACCTGAGTTCAATTCCCAGAACCCTCATAATGGAAAAAAGTGAGCTGAGTCCTGGAACCTGTCCTCTGAGTGTCATGCTCATGCTTAACCTTCTCCCTCCTGATAAAACAGTAAATGTAAAAAGAAGGAATTTTAAAGAACAGATAATGTTGAACTGTAGATGTGAACTAACAGCTATGCTGTACTGATACCCTGGGCTCCTGTGTTGAGAAGGTCTTTAGCTCTGAAGCACCCTCCGTGCCTAGAGCTCCCCCCTCCCCAGACCTCTGCCTGGTTGTCCCTCCAGGAACGGGAGCAGATGCAGCGCTACAACCAGCGTATGATGGAGCAACTGAAGATCAGACAGCAGCAGGAGAAGGCGCGACTACCCAAGATCCAGAGGAGTGATGGCAAGACACGCATGGCCATGTACAAGAAGAGCCTGCACATCAATGGGGCAGGCAGTGCCTCTGAGCAGCGCGAGAAGATCAAGCAGGTGGGGGCCGCGCCTGGCAGGCTGTAGGGAGTGTTCGTAGAGGAACCTGGTAAAGCCTGGACCTCCCACCACGTGGGAGAATGTCAAATACTAGACACTAGATATGGCATAGGGTCCTGGGGGGGGGCGGGGCGCTGGCGGTGAGTCAGCCATGGCCTTGAAGCTTCAATAGCCCAGGAGAACCCTCCCCTGGTGGACAGATCCTTGTTTGACAGTTTGCCTTGCGCTGGTCCCTTTCATGACCCCATGCTTTTATGTGCATGGCGTTCTCTGTTCTCACCCACGAAGACCCTCCTTTCATGTCACCTCACCTTGCCAGGTCCCTACTGGCATGGGGACAGAGACTGGATCTCCACTCAGGACAGGGCTGGGCTGAGCGTTGCCCCCCCCAGTTCCTGGGATGGATGGGCCTCAGTGGCTCAGCCTGAGGCTGGCCAGCCCCCACAATGGCATCCTTTCTCTCTGCAGTTCTCGCAGCAGGAGGAGAAGAGGCAGAAGGCGGAGAGGCTGCAGCAGCAGCAGAAACATGAGAATCAGATGCGAGACATGGTGGCCCAGTGTGAGAGCAACATGAGCGAACTGCAGCAGCTGCAGGTACTCAGCCCCTTGCCTCAGCTTCCCCAAGGCAGTCAGTGCTCAGAGGCCAAGTGCCCCGCAGCAGGGTGGCGTCCTAGTCAGGCAGGCCCAGGTAAGCTGACTCCAGCTTGCCATGCTGCTCTCAGGCTATGTTACACATGGGTAAATTGTACGAGCCTCCTAGACATACTTCCTCTAAATCAGCCGTAGGGTAGAGGTGACGACTCCAGTTCGGTGGGATTGGCATGTGGATTTGTGAGCTGAAAGTGCCTTGCACTCCAGGGCCTGAGCTGCCATGCGGCACGGTTCCTTTGCTTGTGTGGGAATCCTGACTTTGAGTGTCCCTGTGTTAGGGATATCAACAAGCAGGAGGTGTTTGTCCCTCAGAACATGATAGAGCTAGCACCCCTGTCTGGACACCAGCAGCAAAATACCGAAGGCCCAGTCCATGAACTGGTACTTGGGGCCCCCTTGTGGCAGAGCAAGGCATTGTTGCACTTGACAGATGAGGGCCCCCCACTCCAGCCTCTGTGAACTTCAGGAAGTTGCTCAGGCCATTGGGCCCATGTGGAAATATGTGGAGAGGCAGGAGGTTCCTGAGAATGGCCAGCATCAGAGGCTGCCAGGCACGAACTCAGTCCTGTTACAGGACCATCTCAGAAAGGACAAGGCCTTTATTTCAACACAAGAGCCCTTCAGGCTGGGACGGGAGATCTCTCCTGAGGAAATGACATAGGCAAGAGATATTACATATTAGATACATACAGCATATGAAATGTAACTAGACACAATGCACAATTATATATATAATTTCTTAGATAAATAATTGTACACACAGATTTAGACTGTAGCTAGATGCAGTGGTACACACCTGTAGTCCTGCCACTTAAAAGGTGTCAAGAGGAGGATTCTTTGGACCAGGAGTTACAGGCTGTAGTTTACTTATTTATTATATGTTGTATGTACATGTGAGTTTGGGCAAGTGCATTCCCTAGCACACGTTTGCAGTTCAGAGAACAATTTTTGGGAGCTAGTTCTGCTACCCTTCTAGAGTGAGTTCTGGGGATCAAACCCAGGTTGTCAGGCTTATGGTACTTTGCCCACTGAACCATCTCACTAGCCCAAAACATTTTTTTTTTAAAAAAAAAACCCAGACAACTTAGACAATGTCAGAAGTCCACAGGAAGGTAGGCAGGATGGCTCAGTGACCAAAGCACTTGCTGCACAGGCCTAACAGTCTAAGTTTGATCCCCAGAAGCCATGCAAAGACGAAAAGTGAGAACTGACTCTACACAGTGTCCTTTGGTTCCAGATGTACACCATGGCATTCATGTGCACGCTCACACACACGCACACGCACATGCACATACGCACAAACACACACACTTAAAAAACACACAGAGAAAAAAGTTGCAAAATTGCTGTAATTTACCCATTTGGAACTATTACCATTAGTGTTCTGGAATAGTTATCTAGGTATTGCTTGGTGCAAGTATATATGTAAGGAGGAGGTTTTTCCGCCCGCTGCTGGTCTTCTCACGCCGCCGCGCCAGCCCCAATTAACACACCGAGACTCTGTATTTGATATAATGCTGTTGGCCAGGTACTAGTTTCTTATCTAGCTCTGTCTTAAATATTAACCCATTTCTGTTAATCTAAGAATTTCCATGTGGTTTCATCTTACTGGGGAATGGGCTGGCATTGTGCTCTCCCCAGTCTCTCCATGTTGACTCCTCCTGACTCCTTCCTCTTTCCTCCTTGTCTCCTAGTCCCACCTATCTTGCTTTCCTATTGGTCAACAGTGCTTTATTCATTTACCAGTATGAGAAACATATTTACAGAATGACATCTCCCATCAAGTATATTACCATTTGCAGAGTTGTAGATAATGGTAAAGGCATAAGAAGTGGTGGCTGCAGTGTCCTCCAGGGTGCAAGGCGTCTGGCTCCCCAGGCTTCTGCCTCCTCACTTTCACCCTTTTTCTGCCTATTCCAGAATGAAAAGTGTCACTTGTTAGTGGAACATGAAACCCAGAAGCTGAAGGCCCTAGATGAGAGCCATAACCAGAGCCTGAAGGAGTGGCGGGACAAGCTGCGGCCAAGGAAGAAGGTACTGCATTGGGCTGGTGGGTGCCTCCACAGGTGCCTACCTGAGACATCTGAAGCCTTCCTATTTTTGGACCCTACAATGGGTCTGTCCCTGAGAGACAGGACCCATCTACTTGTTGTGTTGAATACTGACAGCCCTATACACCTTGGATAGCAGCCTCCTTCTGCCCTGGCCCCTATGCAATTGAGGCAGAGAACCCCGTCAGCCATGCTGGCAGCCCAGTTTGTGGGGAGTCGCTCTGTGAGGTCAAAGGCCAGCACTAACTAGTTCGTTTTCCGAATTGATTTCCTAATGTGTAAATCAGGGCAGCTCAGGGGGAGAGCACCTAGCTCGTGTGATGCTCAGGGTTCCATCCCCAGCGCCAAAGCAAACAGCCATAAATTTAGGCGCATAAGCCACACTCTTTATCAAAATCTATAGTAAAAGGATTGGAAAGTTGGAGGTCTCTCCAGGGCATCTCCAGGGTCTCACAAGGCTGGAGTCAGGCTGTGGTGGGCCATTGAAGTCTTGACAGACTCCTCCCCGCACATGCAGTGTGACCAGGTACCTCATGCTCCTGCCATCTTGCCTTCCCATGATGGGCTGTACCCTCATACTGTGAGCCAAAACAGGCCCTTTCTTCCTTTAATTGCTTTTGTCAGGTATAAAAGTAAGTAACATAGTTAATCAGTATGGTCATGGTAGAGATAAGATTGTAGGGCCATTCACAGTCATTAACCCTCAGCATATCAAAGGCATAGGCATTCTTAGACTCTGAGGAGAGAGCTGCCCTTGTTACCTTTACCTTGTGCCACATGTGGCCTGATATTCTGAGGGGATTTTAGCCACTATGTACCTGGACAGGAGGCAGGCTGTGGCCTGCTGGGGCTTCTGATACTACACCCACAGGTACCCAGTGTTCCTGCTGGCTCTGCATCAGGGAGTGAGTGTGCATCTGCCTGTCCAGCTCTGGGCATCTGTTTCTGGAGCACATCCTGAAAATGAGCAGTTGTCTCTCCCAGCAGCTGCCTGTGGCCTTACATGGTCTCGTGGGCTCCCGGAAGCACTGCAGGTGTGCTTGGTGAGCTGGCCCTGCACTCTACCTGTGGGACTGTTGCAGGGCAGGGTGACAGATGCCCAAGTGGCTGCCAGCATGGTGGCCTTTGTGAGCTTGCATTACATTCAGCAGCCTTGAGCACTGTCTTCCCCTTATATCATGTCCAGTGGAGTATTTTTAGAAGGATTCAGATGACTTCCTTTTAAGTGAATGCAGACTTCCTGATTTGCTGAGGTCACCGAGAGGATAGAGTGGGTCCTCAGAGTAGTCTGCTCTCCCCCCTCAACTTGCCGTTTTAGACTGTGAAATGCAGACATGTTATCTGCATTTTAAAGTGTGCCTATAGACACACTGCTGCCTGTGGGCTAAGTCTGCCTGACTACCCATTTGTAAATAAGTTTTACATTCATAATACATACATAAATAAGCTCATTCATTTGCCTTCTACATGGCTGGTTTTGCATTACAGTGGAAACACTGGTCTGTGAAGCAGTGTCTCCCATATAGGATAGGGAAACACTATCATTTAAACAAGACCTGCACAATGACAACACTGGTTGACGGTCCAACACGGGTGGGGAAAATCTTGCATGGTCTCACTCTAGATGAAGAGTTAGAGGTAATTAAATGGCTGCCAAGAGAAGAGTCAGTCTTCTCCGGTGATGAGCCCCCTGAGAAGTTAGCTAACCCCAAGCAATCATCTCTAACACCTATACAGATAGACAATAGGACATGGGACTCAGCAGGCTATATTCATACATACATCCATATACATGTAACAACAGTAACCAAAGAAGAGGGGGTCATGGATTTGAGAGGAAGTGGAGGGGGACATATGGGGGAGATGGAAGAAATGAGGTAAATACAGTACTCATGTGTGACAGTCTCAAATTGTTTAAATGTTTACCATCTGGCACACAGCAGGAGACAGGCTGCTGCCTGTGGCCTTCCACGACTTTGCCGAGGAATGCTGTGTGGATAGAAGGCAGGGCTTGAGTTGCAGGCTTCGGTCCTCGCTCAGCACCACAAGCTGAGCAGCCCTTCAGCAGATGCATGGTTTGGGGTTTCAGATCCTTCTCCAAGTTTGGGATATTTGCATATGTCTAATGAGATGTCTGGGGACAAGACCACGTTAGTTACTTCTCTTGGCTTGTGGTAGAGAACCAGACAGAAAGTTTATTTTGGCCACACTGGAGTTTGAGGTGCTGGTCACATCAGAAGCAGATAGCGGGAAGCAAGGCTGAACTGTACCTCCTCCATACCCCCATAGTGACCCTCACTTCGTTCACCAGCCATTCCCCCAGCCCACCAGCTTAGGGGCTGGAGTGTTCAGGCTCCTGAGCTCCTGCTGACATCTCACACTCATAACATAGCAAGACCCCAGTCCAGATAAGCTCAGTCCTGTCTCCCAGGTCTTGCACACAACCAGAAGGTATTTTTGGCGTACCTACCTTTTGATCACCACCCCTTCTATGTAAGGTCAGAAGTAGGATTTTTTTCACTGTGGCATCAAACTAGCACTTCAAAGTTTTCAGATTTTGGAACATCTTGGACTTTGGGGGTGGGGATATTCAGCTATTCCTGGCGTTAAAATTGGATGACGTACTAAACCATCCTGTTAGTGACCCCTCCACTGGGGGGATCACACACTGGATCCCTGAGCTACATGGTTTACAAATGCATGACATTAAACTGAGCCAATGTAGTGATTTTTCAGGTTTTTTATTTTTTTAATAATTGCCTGCCTTCCCCACAGTGCCTGCTAAGGGGCACTGACATATCTGACTCCCTCTCCCCTGGATTTTCTTTATCCATCTGACTCTCTCCCCTCCAGGAGAGTCTTGTTTGTGCTGGAGCCCTTCTTTCTTCAGGATTTATGCTGGGCCTGTGAGCCGTTCACAAGGAGCCTGGCAAGAGGCAGGGGGTGGGCTGGGGTGCTCACCTCAGGGGAGACCTTCCACCCTGTTCCCTAGAGCCTGGGTGGGAGCTGTCCAGAGTAGGCCATGCTGTTCCAACTGCAATGATTGGCATGTCACTGAGTACAATCTGCCCTCCCTTCCCTAGGCCCTGGAAGAGGATTTGAACCAGAAGAAGCAGGAACAGGAAATGTTCTTCAAACTAAGCGAGGAGGCGGAACCCAGACCCACCACGCCCAACAGAGCCAGCAAGTTCTTCCCCTACAGCTCTGGGGATGCTTCCTAACACCTCATCCCTGGGCTGCGGTGGGTGATGTGGCAGCATGGCCACTGGGGCCTCTGAGCCTCTGAGAACAAGTGACTCAGGACCTCTGTCCCTTGCTTCTGTGCCAGCTTGAACCAGCCCCTCAGCCTGCAATGCCACAGTTGTTCACAGCGCCGCCCTGGTGCTTCTAATGGATGACTTCGTCAAGACTCACAACAGTGATTAGAGCTGTTGGGGCCAGGGGACAGGCATGAAGGGTGTACCCCTCCTGTTTGCCCAGACACCAGCTCTACTGTCTGTAGGCACAAGTGCTACCAATGACATCACCGTGAACTCATCCTTATTGTAATCCTTGTGGGTTTGTTTGGGTTTTTTCCCAGCAGTTCCCTGCAGTGTCGGAAAACATCCCTAACAGCCTTTCAGCTCTCAGCAGCCAGCTCTCAGGGTGTCCTCTTTCCCTGATTCACAGGCGCTGGGTATGGTGGGGGTGAGGGGTGGGGGAAGGGAGGTCAGAAATGTTCATCCTGCTGCTCTCTGACATCCCATCTCATTTCTCTCTCCATGCGCGCGCGTGTGTGCGCACGCGCACACACACACTTTGACCTCCTGGCTGCCTCTTCTCTGGCCTCCTATGGAACCTTCCTGCTGCCTTCTGAGCCTCATCCTGGGCCACCAAGCATGTCATGTGGAGCAGCAGGTGGGGACCTGCTGAGTGCTGGCACCAGGGCCCAGAGCAGGCACAGGCGGTACTGCCAGCCTGCAACTAACTAACTCATTTGGCCGCACACTGAATCCTGTGTTCAGGGGTAAACTCCCCTTCACAGCCAGCTTCTGCTGCCTAGCACGTACCAGTCTCACCCTTGCCCACTTGTCTGCAGGTACCCTGGGAAGGCTCTTGTCCTTTGCCCTAGCCCTGTACATTTCAAGCCTGGCGGTCCCTTGAACTTTATTCCTCCTGAAGAAATGCTTCCTGTCCTCAGGAACATGCAGAAGCAGAGACACTGAACCTCCATGGTTCTGGGCCTTTGGGTTGCTCAGCACCTCAGGAGGGTGGCCTCCTGAGGTGCTGAGCCCCACAGGCAACCATGTGTCACAACCCAGAAAAGCAGCTGTTCCACCCAGCCTTTCTTGACTCTGATGCCTAGTGCTCCATAAAAGTAGATGTACATGGCTGGCTGCCTTTTAAAAGCCACTTCCCAGTGATGACACTGCTGCTGCTGCAGACTCGAGCAGTTGAGTCTAGTGCGTGGCTGAGACCTCTGCAGAATCTCTCCATCAGCTGCCCGATGCTGAGGCCAATTCCCTGGAAAGTTTCCCCAGATGATAACTGGGTGCTTAGTGGGGAGTGAGCTAGGAAAACAGGTCTTAGGGCTCCCAGATCGTGTGTGCAGTAAAGGAGCTCATATAGCCCAGGAGGGTGATGGTTCTCAGGGAAGGGAGCCTCAGCTTGCCTTCAGGTCTCTCACTTGAGGGGTCATGAGGAACAGGTGACTTTGTTCTCTTTGGTGCAAAGTGGCTGAGAAACACAAAAAGTGGCAGAGCGAACCTGCAGGACCCAGAGATGAGAAGTGAGTAGGGCTGCTTCTGCCATTGTTTACAATCTGCTTTTTGCATCTGGGGGACTTGACAGTGGCTGTTAGGCAAAATGCCAGTTTTGTGGTTCAGGTAGTCTCTGATCATTCCCTGACTTACCATTCATACTGTCCTGGTCCTTTGTGTGATTGTTGCCTCCACACTTAGTGCCACCTGAGTCCTGGTAAGCTCTACTGTGCCTTTTTGAGTGGGGTCTAGCCTAGTCTCCCATGCTCACCATTTAGCATATGTGCAATGCCTGCTGCTGACGAGGCCCATGCAGTATTCCTTGTGTCCTGTGCTAATGTTTTCTGTGTAGGGACAGGCAGAAATGTTTTCAGCTGAGTAAATATAACTAACTTATATTTCCCTTCATGAAGGATAGATGTAATGTGTATGTCATTTCCATCCATCATGTAAATTTTTTGTAAACTGTTTCTCTGCAAACAAAAAAATGTAAATATGCTTCTAATAAATAACAAGGTTATTTGCATGCACTGTTCTTTCTGGTTGGAGTGGGAAAGCAGGAATGCTTCCCATGTTTGCCTAGCTTCCCATGTTCATCCTCTGAGTGTGTAAGAGCCTCCTCCATCAGGCAGGTCACACTTTGCAGTTTCTGTTTTAAGAAAGGAAAGAAGCCATAGTCTCCCTGATCATTCAGTATCATTTATTTGTTTATTTATTTATTTATTTTGGTGGTGGTTTTTGTTTTTTTCAAGACGGAGTTTCACTGTGTAGCTCCGACTGTCCTCGAATTCTCTCCGTAGACCAGGCTGGCCTCAAACTCAGGGACCTGCCTGCCTCTGCCTCTCAAGTGCTGAGATTAAAGGTGGAAACCATGGACATTCCACACTGCACCCTTTTCCTCATATTCAAATTGTAGTGACAAGGCTACATCTGATTTACTGTGTATATGCATATGTCATGTTACTCCAGTCATTTGTAAGCTATGTAACTACAGTTTTCCCTGTCTTTCAGTATCAGTTTCATTTATAATTGACATGTCTCATTGTTGCACATTTTAAAATTTTACTTTGAGAAGGACCTCATATTCGTTGTGGAATACCAAAGAACTTCACACGGTACAAAAGGATGAAGAGTCCACTTTTTAGCCCTGAGCTGCTGTTGCCTCTGGACTCCTTCCTGCTGTTGATGTGGACCCATCATCGATTGCTTCTGTCTGGGGGTGCAAATGAGCTGGCACCTGGCATGACTGCCATTAAAGGCTAGAAAAGTTAGGTTCAAAGAATTCAGGAGACTGGCAAAAACAAAACAAAGCAAAACAAAAAAAGTACATTAAGGGATGTGGAGGACTGAGGAAATGAGATCGTCCTATGTTAACCGACCCCTCTTAATGCACCCAGTGCTGGAGATATAGGCATGAGTGATGCCTGGACTCTGTCTTCCACATACTTTGCCTCATGGAGACAGGACTGGGGAAGCAGAACATTGGTTCAGGCTAACACTACCCAGGAGATTCAGGGGACACCCCCTAAAAGAGCCACACTGTCTTGGAGGATAAACCGGTATAGTCCAGAATGGCTTAAAAATATGAGGCTAAGCTGGGTGATGGTGGCACATACCTTTAATTCCAGCACTCAGGAGGCAGAAGCAGGTGGATGTCTGTGAGTTTGAGACCAGCCTGGTGTATAAGAGCTAGTTCCAGGTCAGGCTCCAAAACCACAGAGAAACCCTGTCTCAAAACAAAAACAGAAACAGAAAAACAAAACATGAGGCTAAGTGAGAGAATTTAGGCCAAACAAGAGTGCCAGGCTAAGACAACTTTTACAAGAAGCCACAAGAAGATCAGGAAAGAACAGGACTGTTGCACTTTGACATTTTCTAAGGAAAGGAGAGATTGCAGGGTTTTGAGGCAATTAGATTTTAACAGAGCCTCCAATGCTGCCTGCCAAGGGACCACACTTCAGCTCTGTGGTACTCAAGGTGTCCGTTAGATGTGGTTAACAAGACATCTAGTAACTACTGAAACAGAACAGATCAGGTCATCAGGATGAGCACTAGCCCTGAGGACAATTAGAGAGTCTGGACAACGGTCTCAGTGGCTAAAAGCACTCGCTGCTCTTTCAGAGGACCTAAGTTTGGTTCCCAGCACCCACATTCAAGCAGCTCACAACTGCCTGTAGCTCCAGCTCCAGGGGATCCAACGCCCTCTTCTGGCCTCTGTGGGCACTCTCACCCATGAATGATAAAATTTACCTTGAAAAAGATGAAAGAAGGGTAAAATAAGCAACTCCACTTGAAGGCATGAGAGACCACACAATAATGAAGGGTTTCCTGACCAGGATTCAAGCAGGGATGGGAGCCCCAGGGAGGAGTGGGATGGTTCACCCTACCTGACTTCCCAAGCCTAGAAGGAGCAGCAGAAATGCAGGGTTGAGCTTTTGATGGGTCTCCGGGGCAAGGAGTCCAGGGCCTGCCAAGTGCACAGTGGGAGGGATCCAGGTGAAGCCATTCCCTTGAACTCAGACCTCAGAGAAATCAGAACTGGTTAGGGCCAGGAAAGAAAGAGAATGGGGGAAGGGAGAGGATATGGGGAGAAATAAGGGGAAGGGAGGGGAAAGAAACAGGCCAATAAGGTCCCTCAAGCCTGGAGTCCACTGACTTCCACAAACTCACTAAGCTCGGGGGAAACACAAGATGATTTGAAAATTTCAGCAGATAGCTGAAACCAAAAGCTTTTAAAAGAACCAAGTGTCATAAACTATGTTAGTGATGATAATCAAATCCAGTTGCCAGATTTTACCTTTGTATTTGAAATTTTTCTCACTCAATTCAAGCTTGTACTATACTTAGAAGCTTGTAGTTAGAAAGGAAAGCATGGGCTAGGGACATGGCTCAACAACAGGATGCTGCCCTGGCATGTTCGAGGCCCTGAGTTCAGTCCCTGCATTGACTTTTGTTTGTTTTTGTTTTTAATCTTCAAGGCAGGGTTTCTCTGTAGCTTTGGAGCCTGTACTGGAACTCACTCTGTAGACTAGACTGGCCTCAAATTCACAGATCTGCCTGCTTTTGCCTCCCAAGTGCTTGGTTTTAAGGCATGTGCCACCATCGCCTGGAGACTTTTTTTTTTTTTTTTTTTTTTAAAGAAACCATGACTTGTGGTGGTGGTGCACACCTTTAGTCCCAGAACTTGAGAGGCAGAAACAGGTGGATCTCTGTGACCAGTCCAGCCTGCTCTACAGAGCAAGTTCCAGAACAGCCAGGGCTACACAGAGAAACCCTGCCTCAAAAAGAGAGAGAGAGAGAGAGAGAGAGAGAGAGAGAGAGAGAGAGAGAGGAAGAAAGAAAGAGAGAGAAAAGAAAAGAAAGAAAACATGGCAGGTCATTATTCAACTAAACTTGGGTCTCCCTCTAGTCACTGGGCAGAGCAAGTTGCAAGTCTGCCCAATGGCATGTGACTGTTCCACCTGTGTGGAAGCACACAGCAAAGCAAACATATGGTCCCCCTTTTCCAGTAAGCAACCTCAGAAGAGGCTGTGTTCCAAGGCAATGAAGAATGACAGTAGCTCTTCCAACAAGGTCAGTTAGTTCCTCCTGGCCTCAGAGGACATCACCCCCTGAGAGCACAGGACATGAGGCTTGATCAAAGGATGGGCTTCAAGCTGTGGAGGCCTCCAAGCTTCTGGCTACCACAGCAGACCCAGATCAGGGTAGCAGTCCATGTCCATCCTCTTCATCTTACTTCTCCCTGCTCAGTAGGCTGCATCGAGCCAGATCCCCTGTGACCGGAGATGAGAGAGGCAGCTAAGGAGGGAAGGGAAGAAAGGAGCATGTGCTGGGAGCTCCAGGCTCCCCAACTCATGGTGCAGGAGATCAAATCCAAGGCCTTATGCACAAGCTCCATCCCAGAGTCCCAACCCCCTCCACTGCGGCCTGGATCCCCCTTTTGTGGTTTGCCCAACCCATTTTTGTGGTTTTTGTCTCAGCAGTCCACACCAGAGATTCCCTTCAAAGATCTGCTTTGGGGCTCCCAATGCCCCTTTGCCTACAGGCACCAAGAGGTAAAAGTGCCTGGGAACTAACACCCACCCATCCTGAGATGGGTCTTAGCCAGGGAGCTAGGGATCCAGTGGAGTGGGAGTATGAAAGGCCAGCTCCCTTGCAGTAACAAGTCAGGACAAAACTCAAGGTGTGGTTGATACCCCAAAGCTCCCTGTGGGATCAGGCTGTAGCTCTGATCCCCTCGCTCTGCCTTCCCCTCCCTCTCTAGCTTCCCCTGTTCAGTTTCCAGTCTCTCCTGGGAGCTTTTCCTTAACACATGGCCTGCACACAGCTTCTCCTTTCATAACCTGCTCTAGAAGGATGGTATGTCTAAGAAACTGACTCTGTGTGAGTGAGATTTTGGAGCACACTGGCCAGGAGGCAGCAGGACTCTGTCACCGAGGGTAAGTGGGTGTTGTTGCACCTAAATGCTGTAGCAAAGATACCGGAATGCTTTATGGGAAATTAGAGCTGGCTGTGGCTGGAAGGAGTCACTCTGGCTTGTGACAGGAAGCGGTGATTTAAAGGACTACAGAGTTAATTCATTGCTGATGTATATAGTATTGATTTTATTTTTGTGGAAGAGAAAAAACAGGCTCAGGTCAGACAGTCACCAATTTAGGGCAAAATATGGAAGCCAGAAGGTCTCCTCAGCAGCTTCAAAAAGACTATCATCATTCTAGTATTCCCACCTTGGTGTTTTCCCAAAAGAGTTGACCTCAGTTTGTCAAAGAGATGTCTAGGACAGCATCCTATTGTTGAGTAATGTCCCCAGCCCATTCTTTCCTCTGTATACACACACACACACACACACACACACACACACACACAAGCTTTGTTTTGTTTTGTTGTTATTGTTTGTCTTAACTGAGACAGGATTTCTCTGTAACTGCCCTGGCTGCCCTGGAACTCAATTTGTAGACCAGGCAGGGCTTGAACTCACAGAGTTCTGAGTACTGGGATTAATGGTGTGAGCCACCGCTGCTCAGCTGAGATGTCAACACTCATGCTCATCACAGCACTTTCACAGCAGTGAAGAAATAAAGCAACATAGGTGTCCATCAACAGATGGATGGGGAGAAGAGGTGGTCTAGATACATAACGGACTACTATTCAGCCTTGAGAGAGGAGGGATTCCCTCAGCATAGGCTAGGTGGGATTTGCTGAGATAGGCACCCAAAGATGAACATGCATATTCTCTCATGTATAGAATCTATAGCAGACCTAGGGGTTCAGAGGTGGAGGAAGAGGAAATCACAGACATGATGGCTGAAGAGCACAAAATCCTCCTGAGGAAGAAACATTACCTCTTCTCTCAAGTCCTTTTGTACAGCCTTTTGAGCAGGATCATAGCTAGAGGACCAGTCAGGGCCACAGTGTGTTTTAGCTACTAGCAGCTGTTTGGGGTACCCTGAATCTGTGTTCCGAGATCATGGTCACTCACTATCTGGACACAGAGATCCGCCTGCCTCTGCCTCTGTAGTGCTGGGA